AGTGAGTGGGTGGGTAGGTGGGTGAGTGAGTGGGTGGTTGAGTGGGTGAGTGAGTGGTTGAGTGATACACAGATCACACGTGAAGGCACGATCACGGTGAGAAGTACTTGACGTTGGCGAGTGCCTTGACGCGTGCGGCGGCGAGGAGCGACTGCGCGGCGATGCGGTGGCTTGAGGGTGACCTCAGGTGGGAGCGTATCCTCAGGACGTCGAGGCGGACGACGGTGATGTGCAGCAGGTAGAGCAAAGAGAGGGACCAGAGGGTGAGTAATGTCCAGATGAAATATTTTCTTACTGCCAAGAAGAAATTGTCGATTGCTTCGAGGAAATTCTTTAACAACTCAGAATTCAATATACCATCAATTGCTTTTTGTAAGTGATGACACCGTTTTCTGCTTGCGAGAGAGATGTCAGCAAATGTAATACCATACTGATAGAATACCGACAACACACCTCTGCATTCTATCATTGATGAAGATCCACATGGAGTAGTACCATGCTTGCCTACTTGGCAGCCGGCACTGCTGATGCACGTCGAACAACCAGAGTCGTAGCACGAGATGCGACAAAGTGATTCCTTAAGTTCCTCTAGGAACTTTTGAAGCTTAGGCCCAGTGTATATTAAATACGACAAATAATTCTTGGCATACTTTGGCGCCAGGGTAGAGTAAGCGGCGTAATTCAGTGACACCATAAAGCCGCCGCAGCGTTGTTTATCAGTGCAGCCGACTAAATACATGAGATCAGGAGCATTCAGATCGTGCTTACTATGCGATGTGCCATTATACAATTCACGGCAAGAATTAAGCAGCTCCTTGGCATCATCATACTTACACGATACAGTGTCCGTGATTTCTTCACAGACGGCTTTCTGGATGGGATCACGAATATCTTGCAATTCGTTCATCACATTCCACGATTGCGTGAGTCGACAGTAGAATGTGAATACGTCACATAGCGTCTGCGGTGGACGGGTAACGAGGCAATTAATCATTGAGTAAAGTGTGCTGAGCACTCCATGGCTTTCGCACATGTCATCAAGCACTGAACACAAATCGGAACCGATTTTAGATGACCCGGAGAATTGCCTGAATCCTAACGGGGTCAGACAAGGCATACCTTTCTTAACCTTTGGACACGTTAAACAGACAGATGTACAACCAATAGATGTAAGTTCGTGAGGCAAATGGCCAGGAAGACAGTCATTTAGGTAGCTCATTAGAGGGGACGTTGGTTGGCAATTTGGTTTGTCATTTGGTTGGCATTGTGGTTTGGTGCTTGAGTGGTTCTTACACTGCCAGTTAGAGTAGTCTACGGTATTCCCGTACGAACAGTCACGCCAGCCGAAATCTCTGGCACTGTATTTGCATTGTATTTGTAGGAATTTAAGTGGAGAGTAGAGTCGGCGAAGGACGTCAACTAGCGTATCAAAGCACGTAGCAGGACTCGAGGAATATGTCAATCGAAGTGCGTTACTGGTGAAGTCACAGCCATAAGTGGTTTGGGAGTCACCATGACCGACAATAGTGCAGAGGAGAGTCTGAGAATGGGAAACCATATGCGTAAGTGCATCATGTACATGTCTATATGTAATCTGGGAGGGGTATGCATCTACGGGCTGAACAATTTTGTTAGGTGGATTTGACTTGTCCTCCACTTCAAACAAAGACGTAATGTGACTTTTAAGTTTCGGGTATATATGGTTGTGAGGAAGACCGGAGAGCCAACACAACATCTCATTTACAGAGCACGGTGATCTTTTGGAGAACGAAGTGGAGAGATGACACACTCTATTGTATTCATTAAGGTGAGTGGTAAGACAGGCAAGTAGGTCCATGACATGGAATTTTGTTTTGTTTTTCTGCGATTTGTAATGCCTCTCTTTTATGCACGGAGTGAGATGTGTAATGGTTTGAGTATTTTCGATTGAGTTAGCAAGTCTGCCGATAATATTTTGACCCGTCATATCTCGTGAATTTTGTAACTCAGCATGTTCCCTTTCCCTACTGGCAGATACATCGTATCCTGCTCCTTGTAGGAAAAGGCCCAGCTCGGTGAGGGAGTTAATTTGCTTGGTGGACCATTTGGATTCACACTTAGTTTTCAACTTATTAAGGTCGTTGTGAACAATTGTGAAGATGGTAAGCAACACCTTGGCGCACTTTTCTCTATCAGGCTCGCCAATGTCTGCCCACTTCAGTCCGCTGTACCTGTTCACGTACTGTTTGTCCAGTTCGTCCGCCAGTCGCTTCGCTCCAGCGGTTAGCGCGTCGAGCAGCTCAGGGTGCTGGTGGCCGTTGAACTTTTGCGGGGTTAGCAGTGAAAGCGCTTCGTTAAGTGCGGCTAGGTCAGAAGTGAACGTATGGTCGAAGTGATACAATTTATCTTTGCTGGAGTTTTTTAGGCCGTTGAGTAAGTTGTCCAGTTGCTGTTTGAGGCGGTCGACTTGGGGGGAGTGGGACTGGGAGGATTTGGATTGGACTTGGCGTGAAACGTAATCACAGATTGGATCGAGCAACGATTTAATATCATTGGACAATTTATTAAAATCTGTGTATTGTACTGTGTCGATGTACGCCTTAAGGTTATTGCTCACGGCGTTCAACAACCCTTTTGTGCCAGTTGAGCCGTCTGTGAAAATGATGCCATTGATTTCATCGAGCTGAGTGGTGACGATATTTTGTAAGGCGGTGATTTCTTCAGTCTTCCGCTTTTTGTAGAGGTCTTTGGCTTTGTATTGGATGGCTTCGAAGCCTTCTGTGATTTTTGCATTAACATCTGTGTGGAGCGTTTTCATAGTACGGCTTGCCACTTTGGGGGCGTACTTAAGCAGGGTGTTGACATCAGCAATGCACTCATTAAGTTTGTCGCCAACGGCTCCAACTTTCGTGCTAACGTCAACAACTTTTTCGCCAAGAGACGTTATAGCATACCTCACAGCAACTAGATCTTTGTAGACAGTATCTGCACTCCGTCCATTTTCACCAACCTTAGTTTTTAAAAACTCCTGGATCCTGGAGTGAAGTGCTCCAGCGTCCTTTTCAAGGTGAGACTTACCGCCAGATACGCCTTCGGGTACACTGTTTTCACCGGGTTCAGTCTGGAGCTTTACAAGTTCCGACTTAATACCCTCGAGCGTATCGTTAGCGTCTTTCACGTTTGTACCGACAATGTCAGTAACTCTCTTATTTAGCTCCGTGATGCCTTTGGTACACGCCTCTTTGAGGAGGTCTTTGAGTGGATTGTTGACTGCCTCCTCATTGAGCTTCGTGTTCACGGCCTTGACTTGCTCGGCGATAGGACCTAGATTGTATCGAAGTACGCGATCGGGATTGGCTTCTACAAGGGCCTTTCCGAGGTTGGTATGGAGCTGCGTGATTTCAGTCTTCACGGTGTCCAGCGCCCTAGTTATTATACTGCCTGGCGCATTGCCATTGCCAGTCTCGTCCCCAAGTATATTATTGATTGATTCGACATTTGCTATAGCCAGTTCCACGGTGGCGCTTAGGTTGAAAGAGGGGGTCTTGTTATTATTGGTAGTGAACGATTTAAGCATTTTGGCAACACGCCTGGCTGCGGCAGAGAGAGCAACAAGGGTGTCTTCAACCGCGATTTTAAGGAAAATAGGATTGACACGGAGACCCGGAGTTTGCAAAATAGTCTTCTCGATTGTGTCCGTTATGTCCTTTATGAAAGCGTCAATGTCTGCCTTACTCTTAATCTTTGCTTCCAGTGCACCTGCGAACGTTTCGCAGCACTTTGTAACTGCGTCAATGTTTTCCTTAATGCTGGCATCCGTTGGAGTAATGGCTTTGAATACTTGAGTAGCAGGGGTGATGATATCACCGGTAAATTCGTTAATTTTGTCAATAATCTTACTTTTCACCTCATCAGTTATTTTAGCTACATTGCTAAATTGAGGATTTAGCTTCCCACTTTTATTTGCGTTGACATAACTCTGTAATCTGTCTTTCACTAGGCCATTATGTGCCAATATCTTTTCAAGCCAACTTCCGACTAATTTGTTAAAATTGTTTTTGAACAAATTCGCATAATCTGCAATTTTATATTTAATACCATTAAGACCACTGTAATCGCTTCCAGTCCCTTTAAGCAGACGAACCGACGTCGAAACCTCCGCTCTCAGCTGCTCCCACTCCTTCATTATACCTTTTCCAATTTTTGCGTTGTTTTTGCTCGTAGTTACTTCCCCAATCTCTGTTTTAATCGTTGCAACTTGCGTTGCAATTTTTTTAAGAATCTCATGACAAACATGCTGCTTCATCTGGCTCACAATGTGGTTCTTAAGCTGACTGATTTCCTTAGTCAAATTCCATGTATCATCGTGGTCATTCCTAAACCGCTCCAAATCATCACTAGGCACCTGCTCCTTCACTGTGTTTCCAACCTTACAAAGTGCCGTAATCCGATGACCCAAATTCGCCACCTGCTCCTTAAGGATCCTTTTCTCTTGTAAGACCAAATCTTTAAGGCTCCTCGCATCTTGCAAAATATCTTCAACTCCTGGAACAATCTGTCTTCCATACCTTTCTATAACTGTGTCAACACTCTGACTCACTGTTTTCAATGCGTCATAAAGTTCCACGTTGACAGATTTAACTAACTCAGCGAATTCCATATTTTGCAAATTCTCAAGTTTAGTACGTAGATTACCAATATATGTTTCTAAGTATAATTTTAGCTGCGCAATGCTGTGTTCAAATTTTCCCTCCACATATTTGACAACGTCCTCCATCTTCCCCCGCGCCGTCTCATATATCGCCTTCAAGTCGTCGTTCCCCGCTGACATCAGAAAAGCCTTCGTCGCCTGCAACAGCAATGATATGTTATTATGTAACTTACCTGAGAGTTGTGGATCCAATTTCTCCCTGGCCTCATCGGCCTGCTCCGCCAGACGGATATACTGTCCGGCTCGTTTACTCCACTCGTTGACTTGGACAATAAGGCTGTTGTCCTTTTCATCTTCAATCTTCTTCATATTGTCTCCAATCTGCGTTTTCAGACGTGCAATTGGAGTAGTAACATTCTTGGTCAATGTGTCCACCTGCGCACCATGTTTTTTCAACCACTCACTTACCTGAGTCACGGCTTCACCGAAGGCCTCACGGCCTTTACCTACATTATCATGTAAATTGTCAAGAACATTATTAATGTCATTAGACTTATCATTATCATAAGTTGTAACGCTCTCATCCTCCTTCACAGTCTGGAGAACACCATGCAAGAACGCCATCACCCCGTCGCAGAGCCTGTCGAGGTCCGAGTACACAATTCCTTCTCCGGTGTAATTACCATTCTCGTAGCCGAGAAATTTTTCGAGGCCTTCAGAAAGGTTATTTAAAAGATTTTTAGGATTTTCAGATTTTTTATCAACTTCCTTAGCAAAATCACAGAGCCCATTCAGTGTCTTTAGAGACCTCTTGGATGACTGATGAGACTGAAGATACTTATTAAGTTTGTCAATTACAGAGGCATTTTGAGGAGATTGATAGGCAATTTAAATATTAAAAAGAAGATGAAATGGCACATTTTCAGGGGGATTTGGGGGATTTTGGGGAAAGGCGAATTTAGGTGAAGGAGGCAGCGAGGCAGCGAGGGAGGTGGGTGGACAGGGTGAGGGAGGTGAAGGGGCGAGAGAGGGCGACGAAGGAGGAAGATGGGTTTAGTTAAGGCGATTTAGGAGGTGGAGGGGGACAGGTGGAAAATGAGAATTTGGGTGAAGGACGCCGACGGAGGAGGTGATGGAGGGGTGATGGAGGAGGGAGCGAAGCGACCAGTGAAGGAGGGAGGTGGGTGGGTGAGTGCGTGAGTGACTGGGTGAGTGGGTGGTTGAGTGGGTGATTAGGTGGGTGAGTGGTGAGTAGGTGGTGAGTGGTTGAGTGGTTGAGTGGGTGAGTGAGTGATTAGGTGGGTGGTTGAGTGAGTGGGTGAGTGAGTGAGTGAGTATGTGAGTGGGTGGTTGAGTGGGTGAGTGAGTGATTAGGTGGGTGGTTGAGTGAGTGGGTGAGTGAGTGAGTGAGTATGTGAGTGGGTGGTTGAGTGGGTGGTTGAGTGAGTGGTGAGTAGGTGGTGAGTGGTTGAGTGGGTGAGTGGTTGGGTGGTTGAGTGGTTGAGTGGTTGAGTGGTTGAGTGGTTGAGTGGGTGAGTGAGTGATTAGGTGGGTGGTTGAGTGAGTGGGTGAGTGAGTGAGTGAGTATGTGAGTGGGTGGTTGAGTGGGTGAGTGAGTGATTAGGTGGGTGGTTGAGTGAGTGGGTGAGTGAGTGAGTGAGTATGTGAGTGGGTGGTTGAGTGGGTGGTTGAGTGAGTGGGTGGGTGAGTGGTTGAGTGAGTGGGTGGGTGAGTGGTTGAGTGGTTGAGTGGTTGAGTGGTTGAGTGAGTGGGTGAGTGGGTGAGTGGGTGAGTAGGTGGTTGAGTGGTTGAGTGAGTGGGTGGGTGAGTGGTTGAGTGGGTGGTGGTTGAGTGGGTATGTGAGTGGGTGGTTGAGTGGTTGAGTGGGTGGTTGAGTGGGTGGGTGAGTGGTTGAGTGGGTGGTTGAGTGGGTGGGTGAGTGGGTGGGTGGTTGAGTGGGTGAGTGAGTGGGTGGTTGAGTGGGTGAGTGATTAGGTGGGTGGGTGGTGGTTGAGTGGGTATGTGAGTGGGTGGTTGAGTGGTTGAGTGGGTGGTTGAGTGGGTGGGTGAGTGGTTGAGTGGGTGGTTGAGTGGGTGGGTGAGTGGGTGGTTGAGTGAGTGGGTGAGTGAGTGAGTGAGTATGTGAGTGGGTGGTTGAGTGGGTGGTTGAGTGAGTGGGTGGGTGAGTGGGTGAGTGAGTGGGTGGGTGGAGTGGTTGAGTGGTTGAGTGGTTGAGTGGTTGAGTGAGTGGGTGAGTGGGTGAGTGGGTGAGTAGGTGGTTGAGTGGTTGAGTGAGTGGGTGGGTGAGTGGTTGAGTGGGTGGTGGTTGAGTGGGTATGTGAGTGGGTGGTTGAGTGGTTGAGTGGGTGGGTGAGTGGGTGAGTGAGTGAGTGGGTGAGTGGTTGGGTGGTTGAGTGGTTGAGTGGTTGAGTGGTTGAGTGGTTGAGTGGGTGAGTGAGTGATTAGGTGGGTGGTTGAGTGAGTGGGTGAGTGAGTGAGTGAGTATGTGAGTGGGTGGTTGAGTGGGTGAGTGAGTGATTAGGTGGGTGGTTGAGTGAGTGGGTGAGTGAGTGAGTGAGTATGTGAGTGGGTGGTTGAGTGGGTGGTTGAGTGAGTGGGTGGGTGAGTGGTTGAGTGAGTGGGTGGGTGAGTGGTTGAGTGGTTGAGTGGTTGAGTGGTTGAGTGAGTGGGTGAGTGGGTGAGTGGGTGAGTAGGTGGTTGAGTGGTTGAGTGAGTGGGTGGGTGAGTGGTTGAGTGGGTGGTGGTTGAGTGGGTATGTGAGTGGGTGGTTGAGTGGTTGAGTGGGTGGTTGAGTGGGTGGGTGAGTGGTTGAGTGGGTGGTTGAGTGGGTGGGTGAGTGGGTGGGTGGTTGAGTGGGTGAGTGAGTGGGTGGTTGAGTGGGTGAGTGATTAGGTGGGTGGGTGGGTGGTTGAGTGGTTGAGTGAGTGGGTGGGTGGTTAAGTGGGTGAGTGAGTGGTTGAGTGGTTGAGTGGGTGAGTGGGTGAAGGCACGATTATGGTGAGAAGTACTTGACGTTGTTGAGTGCCTTGACGCGTGCGGCGGCGAGTAGCGACTGCGCGGCGATGCGGTGGCTTGCGGGTGATCTCAGGTGGGAGCGTATCCTCAGGACGTCGAGGCGTACGACGGCGATGTGCAGCAGGTACAGGAGCGACAGCGACCAGAGGGCTAATAATAACGACATAAATGGCCATCTGATAATGCATAGGAAATTGTCGCACTCTCTAAACAGGTCCTTGAAATATTTTGAATCAAGCACTTTCTTTAGTTGTTTGCAAAAGTCGGAGCATTGTTTCACCGATTTAACGTCATTTATCTTCCATGCTGCGCCAAACCGTAATCCATACCGGTACAATATGGGTGACACGCCTCTGCAGTTTACAATGGATGAGCAATCACATGCTGATTTCTCATCGGTGAGACCATGTTTGCCACGCTTACAGTTATCGCCACGCAAACAACTGCGACATCCCCAATCCTGGCAGTTGATATTACAAAAGGCCTCATACAAATTGCTAAGTAACTGCCAGAATGTCCATGGGAGGTAGATAGCCCATGACAAATATAGGTTGGCATTCCTTCCGGCCGCATAATTATATGAATCTAAGTACAACGATGCTATATAAGGGGCGCAAGAAAAATCGTTGCCGGAACACACAGTCATGTGCTTGTGAAGGCATAAGCTTAACAAGTCTTCATGTTTGCCGTCTTGGTGTGATGTTTTGCTCTCCTCATTGGTACCCTTGGAACCATAGATATTTCTAAGTGCATCACAAAGTTCATTGGCATCGTTGACTTGATATATGGATGACTGTTTCATAGACTTTTCGAATGCCGATTGGAGGTCATTCTTATTTCGTGATGAACCTGTCTGCCAACCTCCGAAATGCTGCATTGCAAAACAAATGTGTTCGGGTAGAGTGGATGGTGGTTTAGGAGCGATACAGAATAAGGGTGGAAGAATGCAAATACTGAAGAATTTTTTTATAAGTTCACGTAGCTCTTTCCCCGTCCGTGTGCTTCCGGAGAAACCGCGGAAGCCAAGAGGCGTCAAGCATGGTTGCCCAGGCTTGCTTTGGGGGCACGTGTTACATGTAGCTCTACAACCGATGGAACTAAGCTGATGTGGTAAATGACCAGGAAGACAATCGTTCAGATAGGACATTAAAGGTGAAGTAGGTTGGCAATTTGGTTGTGTGTTTGGTTGGTCACTTGGTTGGCACGTTGGTTTGCTGTGTGAGTGGTTGTCACATGGCAATTTGGCTGGAGCTATGTCCTTGCCGTACTTGCAATCGTACCAACCGTGATGTATAGCACGCAATTGACACTGATTTTGTAAGAATCTGAGTGTAGGTAAAAAACGTCGAAGGATGTCGAGAAGCATGTCAAGGCACTGTGATGGAGTGGAGGGATAGTAAAAATTTAGTGCATTGTTTTGGTAGTCGGAGGCATAAACGGTGTGTTCATCACCAGTTCCCAGAATGCTGGTGAGCAATTTGTGTGAATAATTGCATAAAACTTCCAAATCGAACTCTGCAAGGGTGTGTATTTTATATGAAAAATCGGAGTGGTCGTTGGCAAACAACGAATTAAGGTGTTGCTTAAGGGGCTCATAGACACGGTGGTAACGCAGCCCGGCGCACCACTGTAGCATTTGGTTAACGGTGGTTGGTGATTTAGGTGAATCAATGTGATTAAGGTGACAGACGTTATTATATTGGTTGAGATGCTTAATTATGCATGAAAGGATGTCCGATACATTGAAGTTCTCTCCCTTTTCATTTGGTTTGCAAGCTGTAAGATGTGAATTCTTCTTCGCATCATTAATTGTGCGTTGGAGGTTGTCATAGATCTTCTGACCTTTATAGTTGGTCAGAGGGAACTTCAACTCGCCCTCCTTGGAGTCTTGTTTTTTTGCGACCGTGTAGCCAGAGCGCTTGAGGAATTGGCCGAGTGGATTATCTTTATCTCCGTTCGTTTCACACAGTGTATGTGTTTTCCAGTCAGCGCTACATTCATCTATCAACATCTCCAATTCTTCGCGAAGCGTGGACAGAATACTGAAAAAGACCTTTGCGCACCGCTCTGAATTTACAATATCATGAGTCCAGTCAACGGACAATGCGCCATCATAAGTATTCATATATACCTTATCTAATTCACCGAGTAAGGATGTTACGCCGTTTTTAACAGTGTCAAGCAATATAGCATTCTGATATCCCGAGAATGTTGGAGAAATCAAACGGGACAGTGCATCTTTAACATTTCCCAGATTGTTCTGAAATCTCAAATCGTAACGGTTGGAGTGTTCGAGGAAATGCAACAATGTATCGAGAGTAATTTGCAACGCCGACACTTTCTTGGACTCTTCAGTTTCACTGGCCTTGCCCACTGTCATTCTCCTAGGCTGCGAGGGCTTCTTAGCGTGATCCTCAATGTAAGGTAAAATGTTGTCCAAATAGGCTTGGAATGATTGTGATAGTCCTTTAAAGTTCTTTGAACTTGCTTCCGTTTTTAGAGGTTCTAGTAAATTAGGTTGACGATCGTCAAATTTGGGTATCGTTTTGGCAGCTACGGTAACATTAATACCATTCAGCGTCTTAAATAGACCCTTGATTCTCGTTCTCGCATCCTCGTCTATTAGACGCATTATTCTGTCTGACTGCCTCATGACTAGTGTTCTAAGAGCTTCTAGGTCCGCGATTTTCTGCCTGGCAAACAGCGCTTGGATTTGCCTTCTGACTTCCTCGAATGCTTCATTTGCAGCATTGCGTATGTTTCTGTTGAGCGTCTTAATAGCTTCATCTAACATTTCTTTTGCTGAATAGACGGTGCTGTAGACGTTACCTATGGCAACTCTTAGTGAGTCATTGGCCTCTTTAATATTAACCTCGACGTCTCCTACTCTATCGTTAAGCTCCTTTATCAAATGCTCCATAATTTGATCAGTCTCGTCCCGAGCCTTGTCTACCGCGCCAGGTAGATCTTCTAGCCTGTTAACTGTGGCAAGTGCCGCGTCGATTGCTCCCTGTATTCTGCCGGATTCTTGGCTAGACAACTCGGTATATTGCAACATGCCGATAGAGGCCCGAATATCGGTGAGTTGCACATCTATGTACTCCTTTTCCAAATCGTAGAAATATCTGTGAATGTATTGGCCCACCAATGAAAATTCGTTGGTGAGCTTGTGAAGATGGTGTGTGATTCTTGTTGACCAGTTTCCAAGCTCTGTTTTTGTTCTGTCGACGTCAAACCCGCTGTCGGCATACGTTTTGATAGCTTGGATGGAGGTGTCAACGTTACCTTTTTTGTAGCCAGTGTACGCCTCCAATGTCGTCTCGACGGTTATGCCTGAAGCATCACCAACAACACCCGAGGGCGTCTTTTTAAATTGCTCGTCAACTTTTCCCGACAATTTTTCATGAATGTTTTCTTTAATAGTAACGCTATTGTCGGTGGTATAGGTGCCAGCGGTGGAGCCGAGGGCCTGCTCAAGCTCACCAAACAAGCTAGTTGCCGTACCAAACGCATAGTCCACTTTTCCTGCCTCGGCGCCTCCCGTGCCAATTAAAGATTTCAGCTGCTCAGCTACCTGCTTTGCGGTTGAGAGTAGAGCTGATAAGATGGGTTTGACGGCGGCCTGGAGATAGCTTTTAGAAGTTTTCCCCGCCGCTGACTCTTGCGTCATTTCTAAAGCTCCCTCAATAGCCGATGCTATATTAGTGATAAGAAGATCGTCATTAGTGGTCCTTATTTTTCCCTCCTTAAGTTTCCGTTCGAGGCTAGTGGCAAAGTCATTTACACACGTGTAGGCAGCGTTAACATGATATTGAATTTTGTTGGTTGAGGAGTCAGGTACAATTTGAGCGTTAGTAATTTTTATCGTACCATCTTTGCCCAACGCGTTTTTTATCGCTTCCGCAATTCCATTAGTCTTACCTTTATAATCTGTTTGGATAGTCCAATCATTATATGGCGGCTGAAACGTAACATGATTCTTGCTTCCCATAAAATACCCATCCAAGCAATTCTGAACAAACATATCGTTCTCCAAAATATCATTAATCCACTGCTGCACAAGATTTCCAAAACCTTTCTTACCCTGCAAGAACTCCTCCGCATACTTCTCTGTAACGTGCTTAACAAATCCCCGCAGTCCTTGATCCTCAGACTTTCCCTTTATTACTTCAACTTGCTCCTTCACTTTACTGACATACCCTTTCACATACCCTGTTACAGCTGTTTTAATCCCTCCTCTTAATTTCCCCAAATCCTCTTTGAGTTTATCTTCCAAACCGTCAACTTCGGTTTTAACATTCATCACCTTTTCCTTTAATTCATCTTTCACATTATTAATATGGTGCTGCAGCGTATCCTTCCATTTTTCTAGCGCCAATGCTGTCTCTGTGATTGCATGCCTACTATCTCTTCCAGTCTCCAACTCCGCAATTTTATTAAGTTGATTCGTTTTTGCGTGATTGATTAACGTTTTAACATCCTTCATCCACTTCTCCAACTTCCCTACCTGTACCTGCAGCGTTCCGCCAACCTCCAAAAGCTCCGACCTGATTTTGTCAACTTGCAATTCAAGTGGACATTTCTTGGATTCTGTATTCTTGATAATCTCCGTCATTTCATCCTTCAAGCTAAGAAACTTGTGACGAATCTTCTCCTTATACTCCGCGTCAAATACCCCTAAATGTACCTTCACGGAATCAATTGCACCCCTAATAGCCTTAATTCCTTGCTGTCTTTTAGTACTCATGGTGCTAATTTGCTGTCTTATAGTTTCGTACTCTTCATTCAGTTTCCTTTCAAGCTCTGAACTTTCATACGTAATCGTCTTCTCTAATCTCTTTTCCTGCGCCACCAACTCTGCATCAACATGGCTCATCTGCTGGCTCAGCGTAGCATTTTCAGCAGAGTCAAGCAACAATCGAACCGCTGTACTGACAGGTTCAAAATTATGCATAATATCATTTCTAAGTGTTTTGTCTAAGTTATTAATGTGGAGTGTTTCTATAGTGTGGACGTTCGTTTGGATGTCCTTGACCACCTTGGTCCAGTTGCCCAACTGGTCTTGAAGCTTCTTGACTCCCTCACCTGCAACCGATTTAATATGCATACCTATTTTATCAGTGACAAACTCACCTAATTTACTCTTCACTGCTCCCGTTGCCTTGTCCACCTGCTCACCATGATTCCTCAACCACTCACTTACCTCAGTCACGGCGTCCCCGAAGGCCTCACGGCCTTTGCCTACAGAAGTGTTAAGAGTGTCAATAACTGAAGTAATATTATTTGAAGCATCATTATTATCATAAGTTGTAACGTTATCATCATCTTTCACACTCTCAAGAACACCATGAAGGAAAGACATCACCCCGTCGCAGAGCCTGTCAAAGTCGGAGTACACGATGCCACTGCCATCGTAGCCTTTGGAAGTTTCTTGGTAACCAAGGAACTTCTCCAAGCCAGAGCACAGGTTAGTAAGTAAATTATGTGGATTATTTTAGGCACATTTTCAGGGCGATTTGGGGGAGTTTGGAGAAAGGCGATTTTAGGTCAAGGAGGCAGCGAGGGAGCGAGGGAGGTGGGTGGACGAGGTGAGGATGGTGAAGGGGCAAAGAGGGCGATGAAGGAGGAAGATGGGTGGAAGGAGGGGATTTTAGGGGTGGAGGGGAAATGTGGAAAAAGAGGGATTTGGGTGAACGCCGACAAATGTCGAAATGGAAACAAACAACAAAGTGAAAAGTAAGTGAAGAAGTGAGTTAATTAGGTGGAGTGTAGTTGTTAAGTAAATGAATTGTGGTTAAAGTGAAGTCGTTGAGTGAATTAAAATGGGGTAAAATGGTAAGTATAAGTAAGATGGTTATTGGTTGAAGTAAGTGAATAGTTAAGTGGTGAAGTGAAATGCATTGAGTGAGTGAGTCAGTAAGTAAGTGAAGTGGTGAAATGAGTGTGAGTAGGTGAAATGAGTGAGTAAAAGAAGTAAGTGGTTGAGTGGTTGAGTGCGTGGTTGAATGGAGTAAGTGGGTGAAATATAGTGAGTAAGATTGAAGTAAGTGAAGTAAGTAGTTAAATGGGTGAGTGGTAAGTGTAAGTATGTAAGATGGTTAAATGAGTGAAATGGTTGTTATTAAGTTGAGTTGGTTGAGTATGAATTAAGTAAGTTGAATGGTTGAATTGGTGGTTAGTGAGTGGGTGAGTAAGTGATTGTGGGTAAGTGAAATTGGTGCATGAAGTGGTGAGTAAGTAGATTAGTAGTGGTTAAGTAAGTAGTTGAATGGGTTGAGTAAGTGAGTGGCGGTGAGTAAGTGGTAGGTAAGTGGGTGACTAAGTAAGAAGTAAAGTAAGTTGAGTCATTGAGTAAGTGAATGGTAAGTGGGTAATTAGGTAAGTAAGTGGTGGTAGGTTGAGTGAGGTGGTGTGAGTGGTTGTATTAAAGTAAAGTAGGTGAAGTATCAGTGGTGATTAGAAGTAGGTGGGTGGGTGGTTGAGTGGTGATTAGGTAAGTGAGTATAATAGGTGGAGTGAAGTGGGTGGGTGAAGTGAATGATGGTGATTAAGTGGTAAGTTAGAGTGAGTATACACAGATCACAGGTGAAGGCACGATTATGGTGAGAAGTACTTGACGCTGGCGAGTGCCCTGACGCGTGCGGCGGCGAGGAGCGACTGTGCGGCGATGCGGTGGCTTGAGGGTGATCTCAGGTGGGAGCGTATCCTCAGGACGTCGAGGCGGACGACGGCGATGTGCAGCAGGTAGAGCACAGAGAGGGACCAGAGGGCTAACAATAGACACATAAATGGCCACCTGATCTCTTTCATGAATTCATCGATAGCATTGAATAGTTTGACAAGAACAGATTCCCCGTCCAGTACTTTCTTCAGCACGCTGCAGAAATCATTGCACGTCCTCCTCTGTTCCGTGTGCTCCATACCACTCAGCGTCCTCCGATCCGAGAATATGAATCCGTATCTGCAGAATACCGATGATGTAGAATTGCACTTTATAATTGAACTGCAACCGGATTCGTGATTGGCGGTAGGCGATTTCTCGGTAACTGTACATGGTTGTGGACATTTGGCAATGCGGCATCTTGCCTTATCACCTCCACAGGTCTTATTGCAGTCCTCGTAGAGACTGTGGAGTAATTGGTAGAACGTTTCCGTGAGGTAAACAATCCATGATAAATATCTGCCAGCATACTTCTTTGAGTATATGCCAGCGATATCGTTATTGAGGGATTGCAAATACGGACCGCATCTTCTATTTGAAGCTGCACCGCAAACCAGGCTGACAAGATCACCGTTACCATGACTTGTTGATTTCGATGAATGTGTGCTGTGAAATACGGAATTGACTTTCAAGCCGTCATATTCACGTTTGAAATTCGCTTCGTTGACGGCATTGTTAAATGCGTCTCTCTTATGTCTTAAGCTCACTTCGTCACGCCTGCCTGTGCCGTGCCATTCCTTAAGGAAATTGTAATAGAATGCCCACATGTCGTCAAGCGACTGCGGCGTGCGATGTAGGAGACACTGCAAATACTGACATAGTTTGCTGAGTGGCTTACTAGATCGGCTGCAGAAATCACGAAGCACATCGTAAATATGCTTTCCAGTTTTCCTATGAGACGCGGTGACGGCGATTTCAGGGAATCCCATAGGCGTCTTACATGGTTGGCCAGGCGACGACTTGGGACAGTTGGAACATGTAATATTTGTCCCTCTAAATGATACATTATGCGGCAAGTAGCCTACAAGACCGTCTTCTAGGAAAGATTGTAATGGTGATTTCACGCCACATGTAGGATGCTGGTTACACGTTTGCTCAGCTATTTGGGTAGCACTTTGGGTAGCACCTTGGTTGGCACTTAGGGTACACGCTTGGTTGGCACACTGGATAGAGTTGCACTGGACCGACGATCCACCGATTTGGTTGCCGTACCAACAGTCTTTCCAACCGCTTTGGTCGGAGCCATATTTGCATTGCTGGTATAGGAAATGAAGCTGTTGGTGCAGCCGTTTTGTAATCTCATACAACATACACAGCAACTGTACCATGGAACTAGGGTAATACAATTTCAGTGAATTGTTGGAGAACTCAACGGCGTATATGCCATTGGCGTGCCCATTACCCAGTATGGAAGTGAGGACGGGATACGCATCAGAACACATCTGTGTCAAGGCATCTATTGTTTTGGTTGCAGTAACGTCTGCCGGATACGCTTCAATGGGCTGAATTGTTTTTTTAGTTGGGTCTGCCTTATCGGTTACCATGAACTCGGAATTAATGTGCTGCTCAAATTTCTCAAATACGGGACTAAACTGGAAACCGGTACACCACGCAAGCATTTCGTAGATGGAACATGGTAGTTTCGGTGAGTCTAAATGAGTGTGGTGGCAGACCTGTAAGAACAATTGGTGATATGAATTAAGTTCAGGGATTAAGGCCCGTTCGTCGACAACCTCGATGGTCGGTCCATCTGGATCTGCAGGACTGGAAGCTGAGGATGGAGAAGACTTAGGCTTAAACAATACATGGTTACCGGTGGTGAGATGGTCATAAATATTGTTACCTTTAAAGGTGTCTTTATGATTGAGTTCACCGCTGTCGGCGTTGTCGCTAAGAGTGACATCGTATCCGTTTTCACGGAAGAATGATTTGTGTAAGCTAGGAGTTGATTTCGTGGAAGCGTACATTTTATACTTTCGCCATGCGCTATCATCTTTTCCAAGATGCTTTGCAAGTTCACCTAAGGTTTTCCATATAATGGGAACTATGGTGAGACACGCCTTGGCACAACGCTCGCCGTCCGGCGTCAGCTTCTCTTTTGGCGGAGTGGCAGTCGACTTGCTTGCCAGGTCAGCAGGCAGAGGTTCAGTCCACTTATCGATCGGCTCAGCGCCCTCGTAGGCGTTTATGTAGCACTTGGACAGCACGTCGGTCAGCGCCGTCATTCCGTCCTTGAGGGACTGTAACAGGGCAGTGGACTCTTCGCCGAACTGCTTGGGTGTTAGCTCGTTAAGCTTGGTTTTTAGGGTGTGTAGGTTAGTGGTGAACGTGGGATCGAAGTGTTGTGAAGTGATAAGTTTACTTAGCAAGTTATGTAAAGCATTCCTGCAAGGGTCGAAAATTCGACGGACTTTCTGAAAATCTTCTTGCGGATACAATGCTTCAAAAAAGTCATTAAAACGAAGGAGTAACCACTCGGCGAAAATCTTTAGAGTTTTTTGCTCTTCACTAGTGGTTTCGAAAAACCCTTTAATTTGCGGAATGAAGTGTGCAATCTTCTTCATGAACCCCTTGGCGCCTTTGTCCGCGTCCGCCGTGATTTCGTCCGGCAGTTCGTTGAGCTCCGTCTGGCATTTTTCGGCGAAGACTGTGAGCTGATCTTTCATGAACGTGACGTATTTCGCGCGGAGGTCCTGGGTGATGGCTTGTTCGGCTGTCTCTACCTGTTGGATGACATGATCCTTAAGTGTGGTGACACATGTTTTTTGGAACTTCGGAACTTCTACGCCTAGCAACTGTTCTGCCAAGGTGATGGCGCCGTCCTTGAGACTTGTCCGCAGCCTGCCAAATTCGTTCTTAATTTCGTGCAGACCTTTTTGGTCCTTGCCGTTAATGGATATAACAGCATGATCAATCAACTCGCTAAGCTCTTTTAATTTGCCTTTCAGGCCGTTCGGTTCTCCAGCGGCGCTCCTGATGTCATAGCACAGGGTGCCAAATTTGTTCATTATAGTAGAGGTGTTCTCAGCGAGTTCCTTGTTCGCGGAGTTGGCTAATTTGTCCAGCTGAGTAAAGTTGTTATCAATGCTATCGAATTTAGCGACGACATCTACGTTGATCTCCTGCTGAAGCCTTTTGATACCTGCTTGAATAGCTTTTTGGAGAAGTTCGCCGAGCCGACTATCGACAGCGGTGACCGCAGTGCCGATCGCCTGTCCGAGGCCATCACCAAATCTTTGAGTAACTTTATCCCATCCCTTGTTATCTATCTGCTTCGCTGACTTTAAAAAGTATAAAATAACTTCAATGCAATACCCTAGTCCCTCTTTCTGATTGTCTAACTTGGCCGATTCAATCAATCCTCCCAAGTATCCCAATCTACTTTTCAGCTCGCTATTCCCATCCAAAGATGTCAGAGCGGGAGTTTTGCCAGGGGCAACTGAACCATTCTGCGCATCAATACCCGCCTCCACAGCTTCTTTTAATGTTCGCAGGTAATTTCCTACGTTCTGTTGCATCTGAGATCTGAATAGTTCCATCTTACCATTCAAATCCCATTCGCCACGATGCTTTGTCAGAGTTTTAAAGTCATGCGGAACTGCTGCCTGGACTTCACCTGGAAGCTCACTTAGCTTTCCCAAAACACTATCTTTGTCCGCACCAGTTCCATCCTCCCCCTTTAGGATTTTGAAAGTTTTCAAATACTTCTCCTTCACCCCCTCGAATTGCTCATACAGCGTACCGATGTTATCCTGAATAGTTCGAGCGGCTTCGTCAATATCTTTCTTATTGTTCTTCTGTCCAGGCTCCGGATCATTCATCTCCTTTTCAATCACCGCAACCTGCTTTTCAGCGTCTGCGATAACATTTCTCGCCTGCTTGATCCACGCCTCAAACTCCTGGACGTACTCCCACAGCTTTCTCTCAATTTCTCTGAGCTGGTCTAGAATTGCCGAACCTTTCTTTTTAATCTCCTCGACTAACGTTTTTACTCGTTCCATAATCTCCGTATTAACACACTTCCCAAGGTCCTGAAGTCGCTCCCGAACACCCTGCTCCAACGCCTTCCTATCTTGTTCCTGCAACCTATGAATCCTCTCTAATTCACCACGCTGATACGCAATATTATCTCTAGCACTAATAACATTACGTTTCAAGTCATCTGACAAATCGTTAACGTGTTCGTTATTTTGTGTAATATTATCGATAAAGTCCTTGGCATGCTGGAGACACTCCGCCACCTTGTTGTCCACTTGAGTCACGGCTTTCTGAACTTGATCAGCATTATATGTCATCGCCTCACCTCGTTCATTTCTCTCTTGAAGAATCTTGTTTGAAGTGTCTTGAAGCATATTTATATTGCCTGTAAAAAGATTAATTTGTCCACTCACCTTTTTGTTCGACGCCTTCACACCCTCATTATACTGCTTCACCCCCTCCAGCACTCTGCCAATCGCAGCATTAAAACCCTCTTTGCCAGAGTGTTTATGAAGATTAAGAGAGTCAATTGCCTTACTAATTTCATTCATATGCTGGCCTAATTTAGGCTGAATGTTATGTAAAACACCATGAAGGAAAGACATCACCCCGTCGCACAGCCTGTCAAGGTCCGAGTACACGATGCCATCACCCGAGTAGCCTTTGGAAGTTTCTTGGTAACCAAGGAACTTCTCCAAGCCAGAGCACAGGTTATTTAATAATTCTTTTGGATCTTTACTTTTATTGCCTTCAACATTCTCACAATGCTGACAAAGGCCTTGTAGACTTTTGAGAGAACTCATAGACTTCTGATGAGCGTCAAGAGATTTAGACTCTTTTTCAGGGAAATTATTTTTTGCGTTTTTAAGGTCCTTTTCAGCCTTTTTAAGTTGATTTTCATTAACTTTTTGCGGGCTTTTAGGATTTTTATTCCCCTCCTCAATTTGCTTATTAAGCTCATTCACTTGAGATTGAAGGCTATCAACATCTTTTTTCTTAGAGTCAAGTTCCTTAATTTTGTTGTCAACAAGCGGAATTACAGTTGTAATTTGATTATTAAGCGTGGAACTTTGTGAGGAAATTTCTTTTTTAAGACGCTCATTTTGCTGTTGAAGCTTCTGAATCTCAGGATCACGGACGGACGGCGCCTTTCCAGGCGCCTCACTTTTTTCAGCAACATCTTTTTTAAGGCTATTAATTTCTCTCTCAATTTCATCATATTTTTCAAATGTATTTTGAAGATTTTTAAGAACTTCATCACGGAAATTCTTATCATCACAATTACACCCCTTATCTCCGCAAGATGTTTGTAAAAGCTTACTAAGCTGAGTTACATTACTGTGCAAACCATTCACAATAGCCTTTTTAACTTCCTCACTCCCACCAATAAATCCCGAAAGTTGTCCAGCAAGCTGACCAAGAGAGATGCGGCGGGCATCAATATCATCCAAGGTTTCCCCCCTGGCATCCTCAGTAAGGTAATGAACTTCATTATAATGGTTATTGTAGTTGGATTAAAGGTGGATTAGGGGAGGGTTAAAAGGAGTAAAAGGGGATGAAATGGCACATTTTTAGAGCGATTGGAGGGAATTTGGGGAAAGGCGATTTTAGGTCAAGGAGGCAGCGAGGCGGTGAGGGAGGTGGGTGGACAGGGTGAGGGAAGTGAGGAGGCGAAAGAGGGCGATGAAGGGGGAAGATGGGTTGGGATAAGGCGGTATAGGGGTGGAGGGAGAAAGTGGAAAATGAGGATTTGGGCGAAGGACGCCGACGGAGGAGGTGATGGAGGGAGGAGGCAGGGAGCGAAGCGACCAGTGAAGGAGGTAGGTGAGTGGTTGAGTGGGTGGTTGAGTGGGTGAGTGGTTGAGTGGGTGAGTGGTTGAGTGGGTGAGTGGTTGAGTGGGTGAGTGGTTGAGTGGGTGAGTGGGTGAGTGGTTGAGTGGGTGAGTGGGTGGGTGAGTATGTGAGTGAGTGGGTGAGTTGTAGGTGAGTGGGTGGGTGGTTGAGTGAGTGAGTGGGTGGGTGGTTGAGTGGTTGAGTGAGTGGTTGAGTGGTTGAGTGGTTGAGTGGTTGAGTGAGTGGTTGAGTAGGTGAGTGGGTGAGTGAGTCAGTATGTGGTTGAGTGGGTGGTTGAGTGGTTGAGTGGTTGAGTGGGTGAGTGAGTGGGTGAGTGGGTAGGTGGGTGAGTGGGTGGTTGAGTGGTTGAGTGAGTGGGTGGGTGAGTGAGTGTGTGAGTAGGTGAGTGAGTGAGTAGGTGGTTGAGTGGGTGGTTGAGTGAGTATGTGAGTGGGTGGGTGAGTGAGTGAGTGGGTGAGTGAGTGGGTGATGGCACGATTATGGTGAGAAGTACTTGACGTTGGCGAGTGCCTTGACGCGTGCGGCGGCGAGGAGGGACTGCGCGGCGATGCGGTGGCTTGAGGGCGAGCGCAGGTGGGAGCGTATCCTCAGGACGTCGAGGCGGACGACGGCGATGTGCAGCAGGTACAGGAGCGAGAGCGACCAGAGGGCTAATAAGAGGTAGGAGAAGAAGTTGAGAAATGTTGAAGGATTATTTTAGGCACATTTTCAGGGCGATTTGGCGGAGTTTGGAGAAAGGCCATTTTAGGTGGAGGAGGCAGAGGGGGAGTGAGGGAGGTGGGTGGACAAGGCGGGGGAAGTGACGGGGCGAAAGAGGGCGACGAAGGAGGAAGATGGGTGGAGGTAAGGGGATTTTAGGGGTGGAGGGAGAAAGTGGAAAATGAGGATTTGGGCGAAGGACGCCGACGGAGGAGGTGATGGAGGGAGGAGGCAGGGAGCGAAGCGACCAGTGAAGGAGGTAGGTGAGTGGTTGAGTGGGTGAGTGATTGAGTGGGTGGGTGGTTGAGTGGGTGGTTGAGTGGGTGGTTGAGTGGTTGGGTGGGTGAGTGGGTGGGTGGATGAGTGAGTGGGTGGGTGAGTGGGTGATACACAGATCACACGTGAAGGCACGATTATGGTGAGAAGTACTTGACGTTGGCGAGTGCCCTGACGCGTGCGGCGGCGAGGAGCGACTGCGCGGCGATGCGGTGGCTTGAGGGTGATCTCAGGTGGGAGCGGATGCGGAGGACGTCGAGGCGGACGACGGCGATGTGCAGCAGGTAGAGCAAAGAGAGGGACCAGAGGGATAATAAGAGGTAGGAGAAGGGTGTACGAATTGCCCATAGGAATTTGTCGCACATTTCGAATATTTTTTCGAACCATTTGGAATCAACTATGCTGCACAGTTGTCTGTAGAAATCACGGCACGTCTTTGTGTTTTTACCGTATAAGGACTTTGCGTTTGCAAATGTGAATCCATATTGGTAATATACGGAGAGGACGCCACGACAGCCTACTAATGACTTGCACTTGCAATTCAATACCACACCATGTTTACCCGGTTTGCAATGACAAGTGGTACACCCAGAGGCGCCGCAATCAATCATCTTAAAAGCTTCAAGCAACGATTGTAGATTATTGTAAAGCGTCCATGGCAAGTAAATGGCCCATTGAAGGTACAAGTTGGAATGGGTTTTGGCAAGGTAATTGTAGGCTTCTGAACATGTTGATGAGAGGTAAGGGGCGCATTGGTATGAACCGGCACATGGATCATTTCTGGACAGGCTTGCCAAGTCAGTGTTTCTAGGTTCAATATGCATTTTGTCGTGACTACCCTGGGGATTACCATAAGCGTTGCAAATTGCATCGATAAGATCGGTTTGCTGCTCATATAGATTAATGGAGGCGTCGGTGATAGATCTTCTAAATGAATCGACGAAAGCATAATCGGACGTTACAGCGCCACTACTGATGGGAGTTGGGGCGTTAAGATGTTTTGCTAGCGACAACGTAAAACTGAAATGCTCTGGGAGGGTGGTCGGCGGCTTGGGAGCGATAGCGAACAGGCCTGAACATTCGACATTAAGCAAGAATTTCTCAAGCGCAGCACATAAATCCTTTCCCTGACGCACGCTACCGGAAAACCCTCTAAAGCCAAGAGGCGTCAAGCACGGCTGCCCGGGTTGCCCCTTAGGGCAATTGCTGCATACTGCTTTGCAGCCTATGGAACTGACATTGTGCGGTAAATGCCCTGGTAGGCAATCGTTCAGATAGGACACAAGTGGAGATGTTGGTCGACAGCTTGCTTGGCTGTTTGGTTCAGTGTTTGGTTGGCACATTGGTTGTGACGTTGCTTGGCAATTTGGTTTGTCCGCTGGATGCTCGTTGCACAGCTGGTTGACCGTAGCGATACCTTTGCCGTACTTACAGTCAGACCAGCCGGAGTACCAAGCACTGAGACTACACTGGCTATGCAAAACTCTGAGCACTGGGAATACTCTACGTAATATATCAAGCAACGTTTGTAAGCATTCCTCGCCTGAGCTGGGATATTTAAGATTAAGTGAGTTGTTTGCAAATTCTGAGGCATACAGGGTATCCTCGTCGCCGGTGCCGAGGATAGTGGTGAGTATGTTACGTGAATATCTAGACAATTTAGGCAATCCATGCGTCGCTAGTGTGTACATTATATTTTGTAAATATGAGTCTTTCTCATCATCATGCAACGTTTTACCGAATTGCTTCAGTTTCTCGTAAGCAGTGTTGTACTCCAGGCCGTAACACCAACCAAGCATCTCATACACGGAGCATGGAACCCTGGGCTTAGGAATATGTTTCTGATGGCACACATTATTATATTGAGTTAGGTGGCTACGAAGACAGTCGAGAATGTCAAAGAGATTAATGCTACTAATTCGATTCTGCTTCTTTGATTCACAATTGTGAAGGTGCTCAATATCGACGGCCTCTTGTATTGCTTTTTGAAGTTTGCTAAAAACATGCCAACCTGTCATTTTGCCCTTGTCCTGAAGCTCCCATTGTTTCTTGTTTTTATCAGGCACTTCGTAACCCAAACTGAGGAAGAATTTTCCAAGCTCGTTGGATTTGTTTATTTGATCAGTCTTGCAGGCAGCATGACATATACGTCTGACATTGTTTAAATCACTTGTAAGAATAGGAAGCGCCGTAAAGAACACTTTCGCGCACCGCTCGGAGTCATCGGATGGAATAGATTTACTCTCAATTGTCCTCGTCCACTGAACGGTCAGCCCCGAATACTTGTTGACGTACGCTTTGTCAAGTTGTGAGCACAGTGCATCCATCCCTGCTCTGGAAGCGTCGAGCAATGGAGCGTTATATATACCATTGTACCTTAAAGGACTAAATGCGCAAACTTGTTTCTTAAGTTTGTCTAAATTCCCTAAGAATACGTGATCGAAGTGATTTGATTCTTGAAGTTTGTTAAGCAATTTGTCTAAGCTATAGATGATGTCATGAACCTTTGCGGAATTCTCATTTTCCTTCTTAGTCAAATGGTCTTTCATGGTGCACGCTTCGCCTTCAACATACAATAAAATATCATCTATAAATTCTTTTGCCTTCCCGCACAGACCCATAAAGTCTTTATTTATCATGCCATCAAGCGTTTGCCTGTTGGCGTTAGTCAATAATATCCTAGCCAGTAGGCCCTTGATTCCGCTAGCTCTGTCCTTGTCGATAATATTCTGCATCTCCTCACTGTGCTTCGTAACTAATGCTTTCAGGTTCTCAAGCTCCTTTATCTTGGACTCCGCGTACTGTTGGAGGGCCTCTTTTTTTAGGTTGGTAAGAGCATTTTTGGAGTTTTCAAGGTAATTGTCATGGAATGTTTTAATGGCATCTTTTACATTGGTGTGGACACTATCGATTTCACGGTTGATGTCTTGGATCATGTAAGTCAAATTTCGCAAGGCCTGTTCAAGAGTTTTGATAGTCACTTGAACTTGGGTATTAAGCGCTTCAAAGTGTTGCTTCATCTCATTGAGAAATCCGTCAACACTTGACCTGGCTTGTTTAACGGCCTCCGGAATTTGTTCAAGCGTCTCGATATTGGATAGGATCTTGGTGATGGAGGTGACGGCGGCTTGCCGTTTTTTGTGATAAGCGGAAAATTTGCCATTTATACCAAGGTTGAATTCCGAATTACCATCTATGTTTTCGCCTCTGTTGAAGAACCTTCCAAGGCTCTTTTTAATTTCGTCAATTTTGGTTTTGAGGGAATTGGCTTCCGCACCATTTTTGCCAGTCACCCACTTGTGATAATTTTCCATGAGATCTGGGACATTCTCGGGCTTTCTATGGGCGTTGTTGAATTTCTTACCAACCTTTCTGTTAATATCGCTGAAAAGGGCGCTGATAATAACTTCGGGATGCTGGTCGATTGAATTCACATCGTCTTGTCCTGTGACCTTCATCGCTGCCTGTCCAAAACTAGACAACGCATCTTCGACGTTCTGACAAAATCCTGATTTCTCATTTGCCGCTTCAAGAAGAGGCTTCAGTGAACTGCCGTTAAGAGCGTCTTGTAAAGCCTTCACACCAGGAGTACTGCGTCCATATAATTCAGCCGCCTTAATACCCGTAATCATGGCCCCAACGTACTTCGTAACATACCCTTTTATCGCAGCTTCAATCCTACCAAATAACTTCTCCAAATCCGCCTGCACCTTCTCATCCAACTGACCAAGGGCACTGTTTACTTGATTCACAGCACTATCAATGGCGCCGCCCATCTGCCTGGCACCAGAGTTCAGTTCGTTGTCTAAGGCTTCAATGCCTTCCTTGACTGAGTTGACTACAACACGTAGTTTAGACTCTCTGCCTGAGGCAACAGACGTCCCATCGTGCTTGATATCCGCAAGCAACTGTTCTATCGCCTTAAATTTATCGTCGAAGTGAGATCGTTTGTTAATTATAAACGTCCCACTCACGTACTTCTTAGCCTTACTCTCTGCTGCCACCAGCGTCTGCTTCGCTGTCTGAATGGACGCCTCCAACGCTGTTTTATGTTTGTTTGCCACATTGTGCTTGAGAGTGTCAATATCAAAATAGAGTTTAGAAGTAACATCGCTGAACCCCCGCTCAACCTTATCATTCAACGTCTGAAACTCGCTGTCAGCCTTTTGGCAGACAGTCTTCAGCCCCTCATGGTCTGACGCGGCATTTTTGTGAAAAGTGTCTACAGCATTATGCATCAATTTTACGTGAGGATGTAACTTATTATAAAGCTGTTTGTCTACGCTATTAAGTGCATCTGAAGATTTCTTCATCTCCGTAGTCAGACCTGAAACACATGAAAGCCATTTATGTAACTTACCACCAGTGCCGGAGACTTCATCATACTCCTTGCCTTGCATCCCTTGAATCTCCTTAATCAACGTCGAAATGTTCTTGAAATTATTTCCGTCGGTGCCTGTCAAAAGATTATTTATCGGCGTCGTAACCTTCTTGGTCAATGTCTCCACCTGCGCACCATGTTTTTTCAACCACTCACTTACCTGATCCACGGCGTTCCCGAAGGCCTTACGGCCTTTGCCTACATTATCATGTAAATCACGAAGAACATTGTTAATATCATTATTATTATCATAAGTTGTAACGCTCTCATCATCCTTAACACTCTCAAGAACACCATGAAGGAAAGACATCACCCCGTCGCAGAGCCTGTCAAGGTCGGAGTACACGATGCCGGAGCCGGTGTAATTACCATTATGGAAACCGAGAAATTTTTCGAGGCCTCCACAAAGACTCTCTAGAATATTTTTTGGAGTTTTACTTTCATTATTTTTAACATCCTTACAATGTTGACAAAGCGTTTGTAGACTTCTGAGAGAACTCATAGACTTCTGATGAGAGTCAAGAGATTTAGACTCATTCGCAGGGAAATTATTTTTTGCATCTTTAAGTTGCTCTTCAGCTTCTTTAAGAGCATTTTCATCTTTATTTTCCCCCTCCTCAATTTTCTTTTTAAGGTCATTCACTTGAGATTGAAGGTCATCAACTGAATTTTTCTTAGGTTCAAGTTCAGAAATTTTCTTTTGAACAGCGTCAATTACATTTGTAATGTCCTTTTGAAGGTCAGAACTTTCTTGTAAAATTTTATCTTTAAGCTCATCAAGTTTCCTTTTAAGGTCTTCAACTTGCTGTGTAACATCACCAGAATCACTGTCTTTAGAATTATTATTTTCTGCAAGTTTCTGCGCAATTTGTGTTTGAAGAGCATCATATGTAATACATTTTTGCTTAATTTCAGTAAGAGATTTCTGAAGGTTATTAACATCTTTATGATCATCACACCCCTCTCCTCCGCAAGATGCTCTTAAAAGCCTAGTAAGCTGATTTACATTACTGTGCATACCATTCAACAATGCCTTTTTAACTTCTTTACCACCGCCAATAAAACCCATAAGTTGTCCAGCAAGCGTACCAAGAGAGATACGGCGTTCAGCAAGATCCTTCAAGGCTCTGTTTCTAGCATCGTCAGTAAGGTAATGGACATCATTATAATGGTCATTGTATTTGGATTGAAGGTGGATTAAGGGAGAGTAAAAAGGAGTAAAAGGGGATTATTAAGGACATTTTCAGGGCGATTTGGGGGAGTTTGGGGAAAGGCGATTTTAGGGTGAGGAGGCAGTGAGGGAGGTGGGCGGACAGGGTGAGGGAGGTGAAGGGGCGAAAGAGGGCGACGAAGGGGGAAGGTGGAAAAAGAGGATTTGGGTGAAGGACGCCGACGGAGGAGGTGATGGAAGGGGAAGCAGGCGGAAAGCCGAACTGCGAATGAGTTGGAGAGGTAGTGGTCAGTAATGGGATCGATGCGGGCGAGTGAGCGGGCGGCCGATGAGTAGCACGCGGGTGGGCGGGCGGGGCGGCGATGATGAGCGGCCAGGCGGCGGGCGGTTGAGCGTATCGATGGGCGGAGCAAGGCGGCGGTCGATGCGGGTTGAGCAGGCTAACGTGATCATGGCGAGAAGCACCACGATGAGAGTTCCGATCAGACAGCGAGTGATGGATCACGGCTGATCCCGGTGGCCTGATGGGCAGGATCTGCAGGCGGGAGCCGCATCCCCAGGACGCCCGATGGACGATCTACGACAGCGTTATACAGAGAGCCATATTTTAACCAGAGGGCCAACAAGAGTGCGAATTAGAAACAGCTTCGAGAAACGCTGAAGGATCATTCAGGCACACTCAGGCCGATCTGCAACCGAGGAACCGGTGGCGCGATCTGATAAAACGGCGATGCCAAGTGATGCGCGATGAGTGCGCGGAGGAACATTAGATTAATGTTTAGCTGACGATGATGCAGAGATTTCGCGAGGACATGCTTACCAATGATGCGTGATTTTGCCGTGAAGCTGATGATCTGGGCGAAATGACCGACGGATAAATGACGGAATGGACGACGGAGTTATGGTAAATGAACTGCTTGTAAGATGGAGCGGCGGGCAAGAGCGAAGAGCAAGAGCGATTTTAAGTCGATGGTCAGCGAGCGGCGCGAGCAATATATATTGATGATATGATGGGTCAGCGATGAGTGAGGCGGTAGCGAGCGATAATGCGCATCGAGTATCGATGATACGCGGTCGAGCGTAAGTACGATAGCGAGCGTTTTATTTATTTATATGCGGGCGGGGGCGATGCTTAGCATGCATCGATAAATGGTAAGATTGGATTGATTTAGCGATGTATGACGCGATGTTTATTAATTACCGATTTATCGATGGGCGATGGACGATGGGCTACCGATGTGGGTGATGGGCTACCGATGATGCGGATGCATGATGGTCAAGCGGGCGATGCACCGGATGGCGATTTTACGATGATGATGGGCGCATAAGATGGCGGGCGCAATGATGTGATTTATTATCTGATGAACGGGCGGGCGATGCGGTTAGCTATCGATGATGATGAGCGGTTAACGAGCGGGCGGGCATGATGCATGAGTTAGTAAGATACCGATGATCAGCGATGGGCTATCGATGATGATGGCCTGGTTTATCAGCGACAAGCGAGTGGGTGGTTGAGTGGGTTGAGTGGTTGAGTGGTTGAGTGAGTGGGTGAGTGGGTGGGTGGGTGAGTGGGTGGTTGAGTGGTTGAGTGGGTGATACACAGATCACACGTGAAGGCACGATTATGGTGAGAAGTACTTGACGTTGGCGAGTGCCTTGATGCGTGCGGCGGCGAGGAGGGACTGCGCGGCGATGCGGTGGCTTGAAGGTGATCTCAGGTGGGAGCGTATCCTCAGGACGTCGAGGCGGACGACGGCGATGTGCAGCAGGTAGAGCAAAGAGAGTGACCAGAGTGCTAGGAGTGTCCAAAAGAATTTCTCCCTAATCGCCCACAAGAACCCTGTAATTTTCTCGAACACTATTTTATGCAGTGTCTTCTTTTCCTCTGTCACTATCTTCAAAATTGCGCAGAAATCTGCGCAGGTCCTCTTGCCTTCTTCTCCTGCAACACCACTGAGGCTGCTGACGCTCTGGTGTATGAATCCGTATTTGTAAAACGTTGGACGAATATAATTACATTCCACAATTGATTTACATTTATCTCCATGATGCGAGGATGGTTGCAGCGGATTCTTATTCGTTGCGCACTCCTTACTGCATTTGCCAATTTTGCATCTCGTAGCTTCTGCGCCGCACGTCTTCTCGCAGTCCTCCAACAGCTTCTTAAGCAAGTCGTAGAAAGACTCAGTCAAGAAGACAATCCACGAGACGTACTTGTTGGCGTGCTTTTCTGAGAACATAGTACATATGTCACTGCACAAAGGCCTGAGATACGGGCCACAGGGATGCGATGGAGTGTGCGATTTGTTACCGGTGCAGTTGACAAGAGCATACAGATCACCGGTGAGATGTGTACTAGTCTGATCGGCGGGCTTCGGAATACCATGATTCCTGCTCTTGAACATACCAGTGATGTCCAGCTTGGTATCAGGATTATCGAAATCGGCGCCGCTAACCGCTTTGGTAAACGCCGTCTCCCTGTGCTGCACACGATTTTTGTCCTTGCCGTTCTTATTCCATTCACTAAGCAAACTGTAGTAGAAGCCGAACATATCACTCAGCGATTTCGGCGGACTGGGGAGAACGCAGTTGAACAGGCTGCATATCTTAGTGAGCGGAGACTTTTGATTACCGCAGAAGTCACCAAGGACTTCCATGAGGAATTGCCCTGTTCGCCTATGTGACGCTAATCCGGCGATTCCTGCAAAGCCCATAGGCGTTATGCACGGCACGCCGGCATGGCTTTTAAGTGAACACTCAAGTTTGCCTCTCTCAGACTTGAGGCTGTGAGGAAGGAAGCCCTGAAGGCCGTCCTCTAAAAAGGACTGGAGTGGAGATTTGACACCGCACATAACACGTTGCTCACACTTTTGGTTACATGTTTGCTTATGTGTTTGGTTAGTGTTTTGCTTAGCTATTTGGTTAGCATCTTGGCCAGGACACTGCATGGAGTTACACTTCCATGCTGACCCACCGACTCCATTACCGTACCAACACTCCGCCCAGCCGCTGACGCTACTGTCGTACCTACACTGCTGCAACAAGAAGTGGAGCTGACGGTACAGGCGGTTGATGACATCGCATATCATGCACAGTAAAATGTCCATGTTAGTCGGATATGACAGGCCGGCTGAATTAGTATCGAACTCACAGGCATATATTCCACCTGCGTGGCCGTGTCCAAGGATGCCGACGAGGACAGCGCGGGAGTGGTTACATACATCTGTGAGGGCATCTGATAGATTTGACACTGCTATTGGATGTGGATAGGCTGGCAAAGACAGATCGTCGAGGTTAATAACAGAGGGACCCTCCTCATCGTCTGCCTTATTTTCCTCCTCATCTTTCTCCTTGTATGCCTCTAACACCTGCTGGAAGCCATTGAATGATAACTGTTTGTATACGGAATTATGCCTGAAACCAGACAGCCAGCGTAGCATTTCGAACACTGACGACGGGTATTGTTTTGCATCTGAAGTCGCTAGGTGGCAAGTGTCATAATAATCATTAATGTGGTCAATAAGCGTTTTAATAATGCCCAGTAGAGGACGGCTGAGAGATGTGGACACGGTTGTGATAGCAAATCTATCGACAATTTTCCTACCAATCATCTTGGCGGAGCACTGCAGTTCGCCGTTTTGCGACTCCTCTTTCTTGGTCACTTCGTATCCGCACTTACGCAGAAACTGTCCCAGGTGATTGTGTATATTAGGCTTGGAAACAAGGCAAATCTTTTGCTGCTTCCAGCTACGTTCGCATTCGTGCTTCAACAGTGACAAAGCTTCATCCAGTATTCTCATGATGGTGACCAGGATTTTGGAGGCCTTACGGCCGTCGCCGTCTGCTTCTTCCCATTCTTTAATCTCCTTCCCCGCGTACGCATTCACGTACGCCTTATCTAGCTCGTTGTTGAACCCATTCATGCCGGCGCTAATGGCATCTGATAGGAGAGCATTGCTATGGCCGTCGAACTTTGAGGGCGACAGACTGCTGACGGACGTCTTGAGCTCTTGGAACAATTTGACAAAGTCGTGATCGTAATTGTATTTCCTTTTTCCGTTTTTCTTCAGGTGACCGAGCAATTTGCCAACGTGCCCATGAATCTCATTGACCTTTCTAGACACGTTATTTTCCTGCTTCTCTGAGGCCGGGCCTTTTGCGCCCGGCGTACCCGGAGTCTTTACTTCATCTTCGACGTGTTGCATAATTGGTCTCAAGTATTCTCGTAAATCATTTGACAGGTTCTTGACGCTTTCGTGATCTTTTGGGTTCGTATATTGTTTTAATTTATCCAGCTTGTTATTCCGGCTTTTAGTACCTGTATTGGCATGATCCATCAGCTGCCTCAAAAGGCCTTTTACTCCGCTCTTCAAATCGTCATCTATGGAGTTATTTATGTCTCTAACATGGGCGGACACTTTTGTTTTCATCGACTCGAACATGGGATGAATTTTGCCGTGATACTGATTTTTGGCTTCGTCTTGGATGTCGGCAATTTTGTCGTTGACCTGGGTGGTGACTTCCTCGATAATTTTATTCATGGCCTCCTGAGAGTTTGTTGGGATAGTCTGAGTCAGGAAGTGGTTGGCAGCTTCGACGATTGCCGTGAGGTCCTCATTAATTATACCATAAATTTTGTTGTAAATAGTCTGTAGACTGCCGATGTTTTCTTTTCTACCTTTCCACTCGTCGTCGCCGTATATACCATGTTCCAGCAGATCTTTAATTTGGTCTATACAATTGCCATTCAACTTCTCTCGAAGGCACTTAATTTGCTCCCGAATTGATTGAACGGCAGTGCTTATTGCGTTGGGTTGGGGAGACAGCAGACCATTCTGAGTATTAAGGGCGTTCCTGTGTTTTTTAATACTTTCACTATTTTCTTCTAAAGTCCGGGGATCATGAATTTTGAAATACGTCTCTTGTAATCGATCTTTTAAATATTGCTGAAGACCTTTATGAAGCCCGTTTGGGTTATTTGCTTGCGTCTTAACAGCTCCGACAAGGCTGTTGAATGGCGTCATTATGCCTGTATCGAACTCGTTCAAAAACGTCTTTCCCTGAGTGAAATTTGCATTAAACTGTATAACGCTTCGCTGAAATTCGGATATTTTTCGAACAGCGGCTTGGATACTAGCCGGTACCCTCAGCCGGCTATGCTGACTTAACTGCCTCTCAAGTTGCCCAGCAAATTGTGAAGCAGTCAACAAAGCCTCATTAAGTGGATGGGTTAGCGCATGTATTCCTGCTTCATCACAATCAGCACGTATATTTTCGGCGCTCCGCTCACCAGCCTGATTCTGTTCATTCAGAACGCTGACAGCGTTGTTCATAGCTTCTCTTATATTAGAAGCAAGAGCGGTGAGGGCTTCGAGATTTTGGGCAACCTGTTCCGCAGTGTGAGCTGGCTGGTTTGGACGTCGCTGAAGAATGTTCTGTAACTGTGGATTCAGCGATTGTGATCTGCGCAACGCATCTAATGATGCTTGTAACTGTGCCTCTGCTGACTGAGTAAGTAAATAGTTGTATGGCTGTGAACCTCTCAAGCCATTTCGAGTATTAATATTCTGCGCAGCCTGCTGAATAGCAGTCGACAGTGAGGTTAGAGACTGAAGAGACTCCTGTAAATCGGTGGGAATCATGGCATGGCCACCCGTTGTAGAACTGCTGATCCACAATTTATATTTCTCACATGCCTGCTTGAATCTATTATCCAACAACGTCTCAACAGCGTTGGCCAGCTTGTTAAGATAGTCACTGGCCTTAAAGGCTATGCCTTTAAGTTCTTCTTTCTTCAAGTTGACAAAATGGTTTTGGGTTCGTTGCTTCATGGTACTAATTGCTTGAGTGATTTTTTCTGCATTATCTTCTTCAACCTGCTCGAGAATCTTACTAACATTTTGCAATGCATTCCGTATGATTTGCTCAGCGTTATCAATCCAATTATTCAAATCGCTGTCAATTAGTCTTTTAAGGGATTCATCAACTCTAAAAATAGCATCCTTAGCTGTAATAATTTTCTCAATTCCTTGACCAACCTCCGTTTTTTTACCACCTGCCATATTCTCATGCAACTTTAAACAGACATTCTGCGCCCTACTGATCGCCTCGATTATCACTTTCCTGACTTCATTACTCCATTTCTTCAAGTCTTCATTAATAGTTCCCAGCCTCTGTTTAACAGCAATAATAGGCTGTTGAATGGTAGCATCAAATGTCGTTTTCAGTTTCCTGCCAAGATGTGCAAGACGGCTCTCCACTTCTAGAATAAGCTTCCTTTCGAGACCCTCCAACTCCTCCTTGGTCGTCTCGACGACGGCCTTCAGAGGGTCATTGCTGGCAGCGGCAAAAACCCTCTCTACCTCCGACCGCACGCGATTTACGTGATCTTTGAGCTCTTTTTGGAGCCCAGGATCGAGGTCGTACAAGCAATTTTCTATGCGCATAGGAACATCAAGCATGTATGACGCAATATTAATACAGGCCTCCAATTTGGCGGCCACATCGCTACCACTACATCTACTAAGTTCGCTAAGTGACTTATTAAAATTATCAAAATCATGATCTCTAAGTGTGCTAAGTGCATCTTGAAATGCTTTCTTCCGCTCTTCGAGCTCACCGCTCCACGCCCGCAGCGCATCGGAGACTTGTGTGATGGCATTCTGAAAATCATTAGAACCTTTATGCATCAACTTACTGATTGAAGCAGGAAGATTCTTGATTAATTTCTTGGGATCACTACTAATATCATATGTTGTAACGTTTTCATCATCTTTTACAGTCTGGAGAACACCATGAAGGAAAGACATCACCCCGTCGCACAGCCTGTCAAGGTCCGAGTACACAATTCCTTCTCCGGTGTAATTCCCTTTCTCGTAGCCGAGAAATTTTTCGAGGCCTGTGCAAAGGTTATTTAATAATGTTGTTGAAGGATTATTTTAGGCACATTTTCAGGGCGATTTGGGGGATTTTGGAGAAAGGCGATTTTGGGTCAAGGAGGCAGCGAGGGGGTGAGGGCGGTGGGTGGACAGGGTGAGGGAAGTGAAGGGGCGAGAGAGGGCGATGAGGGAGGGCGATGGGTTGGGGTAAGGCGATTACGGAGGTGGAGAAAGAAAGCGGAAAATGAGGATTTGGGTGATGGACGCCGACGGAGGAGGTGATGAAGGGGGTGATGGAGGAGGGAGCGAAGCGACCAGTGAAGGAGGAGGTGGTTGAGTGAGTGGTTGATGGGTGGAGTGAGTAAGGTGATGAGGCGAGCGAGCGGGCGAGTGGTTGGTGAGGGTGGATTGAGCGGGGGGCGAGCGGGCGGCAATGAGTGGTTGAGCAGGTGAGCGGGGTAAGGAGTGGCGAGCGGCGTGAGCGGGCGTGATGGGAGTGAGTGCGAGCGATACAGATCCGACAACGTAGAGCAACGATTACGGGTGAGCAGCACTGACGTGGCGAGCGCCTGATCGCGATGCCGCCGCGAGCTGACCGGCGGCGACGCAGTGACCTGATGGTGATCTCTGGGCCGCATCCCCAGGACCGAGGCGACGACCTGCGATGCAGCAGGTAGAGGAGCGACGCGAATCAGAGGGCCAACAAGGGTAGATAGAAGCCGAGAAATGTTGAAGGATCATTTAGCAAATTTCTAGGGCCGATTTAGGAATTTGGGAGCAGCGATTTTAGGTGAAGGAGGAGCGAGCGAGGGATGAGGAGCGAGGAAGGCCAAAGAGATGGAGTGGACGGGTGATGCAGGTTTATGAGTGAGGAGGAAAACGAGGATTGGGTGAATGACCGACGATGATGGAGTGGAGGAAGGGGCCGCTAGCGACAGCGACCAGCGAAAGATTGGGAGTGGCGATGGTCAGCGGGCGTACGGCGGTTGAGTGGTTGAGTGGGTGAGTGGTTGAGTGAGTGAGTGGTTGAGTGGGTGGGTGATTAGGTGAGTGGTTGAGTGGTTGAGTGAAGGTGGTTGAGTGGGTGAGTGGTTGAGTGAGTAGTGAGTGAGTGGGTGGTTGAGTGGTTGAGTGATTAGGTGGTTGAGTGAGTGAGTGGGTGGGTGGGTGAGTGAGTTGGTGAGTGATACACAGATCACACGTGAAGGCACGATTATGGTGAGAAGTACTTGACGTTGGCGAGTGCCTTGACTCTTGCGGCGGCGAGCAGCGACTGGGCGGCGATGCGGTGGCTTGAGGTGATCTCAGGTGTGAGCGTATTCTCAGGACGTCGAGGCGGACGACGGTGATGTGCAGCAGGTACAGGAGCGACAGCGACCAGAGGGCTAACAACAGGTAGGAGAAGGGTTCTCTGATGATCCATAGGAATTCATCACATTTTCCGAATAGCTTTGTGAAATAATCAGAATGTAATACATTCTTTAACTGACTACAGAAATCGGAACACGTTCTAGGCCTACTCTCAGCATTTAATTTCCATGCTTCACCAAAACTTAATCCACATTTATATAATGTTGGTGAAACGCCTTTGCACTGTACCATGGATTTACACTGACAAGTAACATCTTTCTTATCATCCTCGACAACACCATGCTTGCCACGCTTACACTTGTTGCCACGCAGACAACTACGGCATCCCCAGTCCTGGCAGAAGATGTCACAGAACTCATCGTATAGATTTTTGAGACACTCCCAAAATGCCCAGGGGAGGTAAATGGACCAGGAGAGGTATAGATTGGCATGCTTGTTGACGAGGTCATGATATGAATAACGGCATAGAGGTGAAACATATGGAACACACTCTATATTTTTGGTCTTGCGACTACATACGCCGAATGACGTGAGATGCGTAAGATGATGATGCGTGCAATCAGTATGATCAGCCGACGCCGATCCATAGGCATCTATGATGGCTTTAGTAAGATCGTCTGGATTATCATAAAGTTTTATGGACGCATTACGGATGGACGACTTAATGCGCTGTTCATAGGGGTCCGTGGCTATGTTACGCCAACCATTAACCAACGTAATCGCAAATGAGAAGTGCTCTGGTAGCGTGGATGGTGGTTTGGGGCTATGCAGAATAACGGTGAAAGGTTGGCACTGCTGAAGAATCTGCCGAGCGCTTCACACAGCTCTTTGCCTGTCCTTGTAGAGCCAGAAAACCCTCTAAAGCCGAGAGGCGTTAAACATGGCTGCCCGGGCTTGGATTTGGGACAGGTGTTACATGTAGCTCTACAACCGATGGCACTGACATCATGAGGAAGGTGACCGGGTAATGTGTCATTTAGGTAAGACATTAGTGGTGATTTTGGTTGGCACGTAGGTTCACCATTTGGTCGGCACATAGGTTGGCAATTTGATTCCTTGGTTGAATGGTCCTTGCAAGGCCAGTTGGCCGGAGCTATGTCCTTGCCGTATTCACACTGCTCCCAGCCTCCGTGCTGAGTACTGAGTTTACATTTACTCTTTAAAAATCGTAACGTCGGTAATAGTTTACGCAATATATCAAGCAATGTATGCAAACAGTCTGCACCGCTCGTGGGATATTTAAGATTAAGGGAGTTGTTCGATAATTCAACACCGTAGAGGGTATCCTCGTCGCCGGTGCCGAGGATGGTTATGAGCAAGTTGTGTGAATACTTACATAAAATAGGTAAACCATGATCAACGGCGTCTGATAGACGATTTTTGAAATCGGTGTCTGCCGCCTTATCAGTATCATTGGTGTCATACTCATCACAATATTTTACTAACAACTCATAGACACTGTTGAACTGGAGACCACAGCACCACGCAAGCATTTCGTAAATAGAACATGGAACTCTGGGTGACGGAATATGCTTGTTGTGACCTATCTGGTTATATTGATTAAGGTATGGAACAAGAGTTTCGAGAAGCTGAATGACGGATGTGGAGGCGGGGGTATATGGTAGCAAGTCTTTAATTCCCTCGCCTTTGAATTGGGTGTAGGGAAATCTCAACTCCCCTTTCTTGGATGCTTCATTTTCGGCGACACGGAATCCACAGCCTTTCAGGAAACTTCCAAGTGGATTATCTCCCTTGCTATCTGTTTCGCAGATATATTTGTCGCTCCAGCGGCCTTCGCATTCATCTCGTAATTTAAACAAATTTTCGTATATCATTCTTGAAATGGTGAGGAATACTCTAGCGGCCTTTCGACCCTCCTCAGTGAACTCATTGATACGCTTGGATTCCCTAGTGTCAACTTGGTATCCATCAAACGCCCACCTATCTTTAGGTTTTTGACCACTATACTTATTCACGTACGCGTGGGAGAGTTGCTCGGTGAATTTGGTCATGCCGGACTTGAGGGCGTCGAGGAGCAGCGGGTTGTGGAAGCCGTGGAAGTGGGAGGGGGAGAGGGCGGAGATGGAGGAGGAGAGTTGTTTAAGAAGTGTAGTGAATAAGTCATCAAAAATGTAAATACGCTTTACAGATGTATCTTTATCAATACGCCTCTCTTCATGATGACTGAGATGTTTGAGTAAATCATCAACGGCATTTTGAATTCCCTTCACTTGGAGGGACTGTTGAGTGAGAAGAGGATTATTTTTATCTTGCGAATTATCTTTTACTTGGCCTTCAGTGTACTGTAGCAGCGGATCAATATAATCTTGGAAATTGAAGGCTAAGTTTTTGAAATGTTCTTTGGTTGGTTTCACTGGCGGACCTTGCGGAGGGGACTGAGGCAGATCCTTTTTAAGCTTATTAAGCAAATTGTTTTCATTAGTGAAATCTATATTTTTAGCGTGAATGGAGACACCACTCAGCGTCTTCAGCATCCCCTTCACGCCCGTGACTGCGTCCCGCGCGATTACTGTTTGCACTTCCCGCAGTTGCGTTTCGACGAGCGCGCGCAGGGCCTGGAGGTCGGCGGCGTGGGAGGCGGAGAAGAGGGACTTTACCTCCTTGATTATTGAATCAAAAGCGTTTTTGGCAATACGGATGAGTTCGTCTTTTACGTTTTGTATTGTTTGTTTGAGCTTATTATTAGCTGTGTAAACAGCCATGTAAACAGCACTGATTGCCTCCTTTAATAAGTCGTCGGTATCGGTTACATTCGATTCTATAACTTGAAGAATATATTTGATCTCATATTTCAACTTGTCCATGAGATTTTCGGCTTCTTTTTTCTTTTTGTTTATTTCACCATCGGCATCATCCTTTGAAATTTCATTATGTTCGGTAAGCTGCTGTTGAATTGCGACAAGCATCTTGTCAATTTCACCCGATGTTCCACCTGATTTAATATACGTATTAAGTTTATCGAACTCTAATTTTAATTTTTGTAGTGCCGCGGCAAGGTTTTTCGTGCCTTCTGCGTTGCTGCCGACGGTGAACTTCTTAATCTCCGCGATCACTTTTTGGCCAGCGTTGTCAATCGCAGTTGTGGCCGCTCCTGTAATTTGGTTTATGGCGTCGGAGTTGAAACGCTCAACTGCTTGGTGAAGATGTTCCTTAACTTCATTTTTAAAAATTTTCTCAATCTTCTTAATCTGGTCACTCACTTTGCCGATGGCGGAGTCGACGTTACAGGTAGGATCAGTTAGGATACAGGAGGCGGTAGCCGCTGCAGTAACCTTTTCTAAAAGCGTCATGGTGGCACTCTTAGCCCCGTCGATCTCCGCTGCGATAGTACTGGGATTGGCGCCAACCTTTTTGTCAAGGAGTATCGAATTGAGTTCGCCTGCTGTACGCCTGGCAGCGGAGATGAGAGCAGCTAAAATGGCACGGACAGCTTCGAAGAGAAATGTTGTGTTGTCCGCTGTATGGCCATTCTCCCTAACTGCATCGTCAATTGCCGTAACTATGCCATATACGAACGAAATTCTACTAATCTGCTCAAATTGTTTGTCCTTTTCGATTTTATCATTAAGTTCCGTTGCAAATTTCTCACAACCTTGTTTGAGTTTTTCGATGTTCTCCACAATGTCTCCATTTAGTGAAGAAATTTCTTTCTGAGCTGTCTGAATTTGTTGACTAAGCTGCTCCTTAATTGCAGATGCAACGTCATTGGTATTTGTAGACTCCATTACAAACTTGGTCTCATTTACATAACCATTCTTAAAATAACCACTATTATTCTTGTTCCTCCTAAGGTATTCCGCAATATACTTCCTGACCACTTCATTCGTATCCAATATATCTTTGATCCACTTTTGTACCACAGCTGCAAGCCCATCGTCATCTTTAAATGTCTTAGCATATGTCCTAAATGCCTTTTCTACCCCTCTCAAGCCTTTATCTTTTTTATCTCCGTTCCCCTCATAAATTTTTCCGACTTCACCTTTAATATGTTCTAGAATACCCGCAAGGTTGTTTTTCTTATCTTCGAGCTGAAACCTCCCGCAAAGCGCCTTAATTGCGGAATCCACACCACCAACCAAACCGCTAAGCCTCTCCTTGATCGCAGTCTCAAATTTCTTTTCAAGATTCGTCGCGTCACTATTACCTGAGGCAGTAATCTTATCCAGCGTATCTTTCTGCAATTTGAGCGATTTTAACTGCTCACTGACAATATTACCATCAGCAGGATCCTTGCTAACTTTGCTATCAAGTTCAGTAATCGCACTGTGCAACGCCCCCAAATCTAACTTAACAGCTGTTTTCACACTCGATCCAAAACTCTCGGACAGCTCTTTCAGCGTTTTCTGCATTTCGCTGACCAACCCGGTAAGATGCACTTTGTTTGCCAACAATGCATTATGAATATTATTGACCTCCATTTGTAGAGCATTAAAATGGCGCGAAAGTTTATATTTGTACTGATTGTCATATTGTTCATCCAAAAATCTGTGCGCAGTCTGGATGGCATTCCTAACATTCCTGAATTGCTTATTCCTGCTAACAGTCGTGTCTTTTATTTTTGTCAAAATATTTTTGTACTCCTTTTCCAACGTACGTTCAAGCGCACTACTCTGCGTATTAATCGTATTTAAAAGATGCCCTTTATGCACCGTCAGCTCATTGTCCACCTGCGTAGCTTGCTGGAACAGGGCTGCGTTGTGGCTAACTATTTTTATGTGGTCAACTACTTTCTCTATCGGTTTTATATTATTGTTCATTTGATTTCTAAGTGCGCTATCTAAGTGAGATATGTGATCGTTTTTAATGCGCTCGACCGCATCCGAAATTGTAGAGACTGTAGTCCTCCATGCGGTCAGCTGCTCTTCCAAACCCTGCGTCTCATGAATTTCACCAATGTACTTACCTGATAACATATAGCCAAGCGCATCTAATTCACCTGCAACATTATGAGATAATGAATTCACCTGCGTCCAATATTTCTTAAGCCATCCACTTACCTCTTGAATCTTGGCACCAAAGACACTGCGTCCCTGGCCAATTGAAGATTGGAGATGTTGAAGGACAGTATGTAAATCATCTTGACTATTTAATTTAATGTATTTATTGTATGTTGTAACTGAATCATCCTCCTTCACACTCTCAAGAACTCCATGAAGGAAAGACATCACCCCGTCGCAGAGCCTGTCAAGGTCCGAGTACACAATTCCTTCTCCGGTGTAATTACCATCATGGTAGCCGAGAAATTTTTCGAGGCCTGTGCAGAGGTTATTTAATAATGTTATTGAGGGATTATTTTAGGCACATTTTAAGGGCGATTTGGGGGAATTTGGGGAAAGGCGATTTTAGGTCAAGGAGGCAGCGAGGGAGGTGGGTGGACAAGGCGAGGGAGGTGGGTGGACAAGGTGAGGGAGGTGAAGGGGCAAAGAAGGCGACGAAGGAGGAAGATGGGTTGAGGGAAGGCGATTTTAGGGGTGGAGGGAGAAGGTGGAAAATGAGGATTTGGGTGAAGGACGCCGACGGAGGAGGTGATGGAGGAGGAGGGAGCGAAGCGACCAGTGAAGGAGGAGGTGAGTGAGTGGTTGAGTGAGTGGGTGGTTGAGTGAGTGGGTGAGTGGGTGGGTGAGTGAGTGAGTGGGTGATTAGGTGAGTGGGTGAGTGTGTGGGTGAGTGAGTGTGTGGGTGAGTGGTTGAGTGAGTGGTTGAGTGGGTGGGTGGGTGGTTGAGTGGGTGAGTATGTGAGTGATTAGGTGAGTGGGTGGTTGAGTGAGTGGGTGGTTGAGTGGGTGGTTGAGTGGGTGAGTATGTGAGTGAGTGGGTGGTTGAGTGGGTGAGTGAGTGGGTGGGTGAGTGGTTGAGTGGGTGAGTGGGTGGTTGAGTGAGTGTGTGGGTGGTTGAGTGGTTGAGTGGTTGAGTGGGTGATTAGGTGAGTGGTTGAGTGAGTGAGTGGTTGAGTGGTTGAGTGGGTGAGTGAGTGGGTGGTTGAGTGAGTGGTTGAGTGAGTTAGTAGGTGAGTGGTTGAGTGAGTGGGTGGGTGAGTGGGTGAGTGGTTGAGTGGTTGAGTGAGTATGTGAGTGAGTGGGTGAGTGGTTGGGTGAGTGGGTGAGTGGTTGGGTGAGTGGGTGAGTGGTTGAGTGGTTGAGTGGGTGGGTGAGTAGGTGGGTGAGTAGGTGGGTGAGTGGGTGAGTGGTTGAGTGGTTGAGTGGGTGAGTGGGTGAGTGGGTGAGTGGTTGAGTGGTTGAGTGGGTGGGTGAGTGAGTTGGTGAGTGGGTGAGTGGTTGAGTGGTTGAGTGGGTGAGTGGTTGAGTGGTTGAGTGGGTGAGTTGGTGAGTGGGTGGGTGGTTGAGTGGGTGGGTGGTTGAGTGGGTGGTTGAGTGGTTGAGTGGTTGAGTGAGTGGGTGAGTGGGTGATTAGGTGGTTGAGTGGGTGAGTGGGTGAGTGGGTGGTTGAGTGAGTGGTTGAGTGGGTGGGTGGTTGAGTGAGTGAGTGGGTGAGTGATTAGGTGAGTGAGTTGGTGAGTGGGTGAGTGGGTGGTTGAGTAGGTGGGTGAGTGGGTGGGTGAGTGGGTGGTTGGGTGAGTGGGTGGGTGAGTGAGTAGTTGGGTGGGTGGGTGAGTGGTTGAGTGGGTGGTTGAGTGGGTGGTTGAGTGGGTGGTTGAGTGGTTGAGTGGTTGGGTGAGTGGGTGGGTGAGTGAGTGGGTGGTTGAGTGGGTGAGTGAGTGGTTGAGTGATACACAGATCACACGTGAAGGCACGATCACGGTGAGAAGTACTTGACGTTGGCTATTTTCCCTACGCGTGCGGCGGCGAGTAGCGACTGCGCGGCGATGCGGTGGCTTGAGGGTGACCTCAGGTGGGAGCGTATCCGCAGGACGTCGAGGCGGACGACGGTGATGTGCAGCAGGTACAGGAGCGACAGCGACCAGAGGGCTAATAACGTAATGGAGAAGAAGTTGAGAAATGTTGAAGGATTATTTTAGGCACATTTTCAGGGCGATTTGGGGGAGTTTGGGGAAAGGCGATTTTAGGTGAAGGAGGCAGCGAGGGGGTGAGGGAGGTGGGTGGAAAGGCGAGGGAAGTGAAGGGGCGAAAGAGGGCGATGAGGGAGGAAGATGGGTTGGGATAAGGCGATTTCGGAGGAAGAGGGGGAAGGTGGAAAATGAGGATTTGGGTGAAGGGCGCCGACGGAGGAGGTGATGGAAGGGGGTGGAGGAGGAGGGAGCGAAGCGACCAGTGAAGGAGGAGGTGAGTGGGTGAGTGAGTGAGTAGTTGAGTGGTTGAGTGGTTGGGTGAGTGGGTGGTTGAGTGAATGGGTGGTTGAGTGGTTGAGTGGTTGAGTGGGTGGGTGGTTGAGTGGGTGAGTTGGTGGTTGAGTGGTTGAGTGGTTGAGTGGGTGGGTGGGTGGGTGAGTGGTTGAGTGGGTGAGTGAGTGGGTGAGTGGGTGGGTGAGTGGTTGAGTGGGTGGGTGAGTATGTGGTTGAGTGAGTGGTTGAGTGGGTGGTTGAGTGTGTGAGTGTGTGAGTGGGTGGTTGAGTGGTTGAGTGGGTGGGTGAGTGGTTGAGTGGGTGAGTGAGTGGGTGATTAGGTGAGTGGTTGAGTGGGTGGTTGAGTGGTTGAGTGGGTGAGTGAGTGGGTGATTAGGTGAGTAGGTGAGTGAGTGGGTGGGTGAGTGATTAGGTGAGTTGGGTGAGTGGGTGAGTGGTTGAGTATGTGAGTATGTGAGTGGGTGATACACAGATCACAGGTGAAGGCACGATTATGGTGAGAAGTACTTGACGTTGGCGAGTGCCTTGACGCGTGCGGCGGCGAGGAGGGACTGGGCGGCGATGCGGTGGCTTGAGGGCGAGCGCAGGTGGGAGCGTATCCGCAGGACGTCGAGGCGGACGACGGCGATGTGCAGCAGGTAGAGCAAAGAGAGGGACCAGAGGGCTAACAATGTCAGGGAGAATGGTTCTCTGATTTGTTTCAAGAATTCATCGCACTCTCTAAACAGGTCTTTGAAATACTCTGAATCAAGGACATTCTTTAACTGCATACAGAAATTGTAACATGTTTTCTGATGCATTCTTTCATTTAATTTTGATGTTCTCGCAAACGTAAAGCCGTATTTATATAACGTGGGTGACACCCCTCTGCATCTAACAATGGATTTACAGTGACATGAATACTTATCATTGCCATGTTTCCCTTTTTTACATCTGTCGCTATTCATACATTGACTGCAACCCCAGTCCTGGCATAGTATATCGCAGAAGGCAGTGTATAATTCGTGAAGATAGTTCCAAAAGTTCCATGGGAGATACACGACCCATGTTAAGTATGTGTCAGAATTCTTGTCGACGAGGTGTCCATACAGATCGCAACATACCGTTGATAGGTAGGGGACGCAGTGGTTTGTCCCGTTACAAGACGTGGTCAATGACAGGGTCGATAAATCTACTTTATTACCATTTGAATGCGTCTTACTATGTTCGCCCGGTGTATTACCATAGGCTTTACGAAGCGCATTAGTGAGACTGTTGGGGTCCTTATATAACTCAATGGACCGATTGGTAATTGATGCTCGGGTTTTATCCAAAACATGATGACGGCCATTGGTATCCCAACCGTCAACAAAAGACAATGTAAAGGCAAAGTGCTCAGGCAGGGTAGCCGGAGGTTTGGGTACAAGTGAAAACAGGCATGTGAGATCATCGACGTTGAAGAACTCAGAAATCATATCACGAAGATCTCTCCCCGTCCTCGTACTGCCAGAGAAACCTCTAAAACCAAGAGGTGTCAAGCAGGGCATTCCGGGTTTACTACGAGGACAGGTTAAACATACAGACTTGCAGCCAACGGAAGTTAGTTGATGGGGAAGACAACCGACAAGGCAGTCGGATAGGTAGGACTGCAGTGGGGACGTAGGTTGACAGTCTACTTTAGTGTTTGGTTGGCACTCAGGTTGGCTGCTTGGTTGACCATTTGGTCGGCACGTTGATTCATCACTAGGATGCTCGGTACACTGAGATTTGGCCATAGGGATACCCTTACCATACTTACAATCACACCAACCGTAATGTTCAGCTTTCACCCTACATTGGTTGTATAAATATCTGAGAGTTGGTAAGAGTCGACGAAGCATGTCAAGGAGGGTATGTAAACAATCTTCGCCGCTCGTGGGATATTTGAATTTAAAAGAGTTGTTGCAATAATCGGACGCATACACGGTATTTGCGTCGCCGGTGCCGGCTATTGTGGTCAATACGTCGTGGGATTTAGAACATATGTGATTAAGCACGGTGTCAATGTTTTTATATGTGAACTTATTTGGGTATGCATCTATGTAGTAGGAATTCAGATCATCTAGTTCCACTTCAAATTCGTCGCTGCCCTGTATGGTTTTTGGCTTAGGCTTCTGCAGGAGGCTAGTAAAACCGTCACGCAATAGAGTGGAATACACAGCGTTATACGGCAGACCTGAGAACCATATAAGTATGTCATGTATACTGCACGGTATCTTAGTAGACGTAAATGTTTCTAAGTGGCAAACTTCATTGTATTTATCTACGTGAGTGGAAACTCCGTGTACAATGTCTAGCAAATTATAGTTACCGGTGGGAGACAGTGTTAGTGCCGCAATCAATCCACCAATGGTGTTGCCTGTACAGTTTTCTTTATTCCTAAGCTCCCCTTCATGGGAATCAGGCAACTTGGAAACAAGAAACCCGCAACCGTGCAAAAACGCACCAAGTGGGTTAACTGTCTTGTATCTATCTTCGATAGAAAGATTAATTTGTTTTTTACCCCAACTCCCTCCATCCGTGCATTTCCCTTTCAGACCCACTAAACCTTCCAATAGCATTGGTGTTAAAGTGCAAAAGATTTTTGCACAATGCTTATCTTCAATAGTATCGTTCCACGTTCGACCATCATACCTATTCACGTACCCCCTCTCCAGCTGCTCGACGAAGCGCTCCAGGCTCTTGGGGAAAGCGTCGAGCACGGGGTACGCAGGGTTAGCGAAGGCTGTGGAGTGGAGTGCTTGGACGGACGTCTTGAGTTTTTGGAGCATTCCGGGGACCTGGTGGTCGAAGTGTTTTTGCGTGGACAGGTGGGAGAGGAGGGCTTGGAGGGCGGAGTGGATGGTGGAGAGTTTAGTAAGGTTGGAGTCCGTAGAAACATTTTTAGGTTTAGGTTGCGAAATCGATTGTCCCTCAAGATATTTGTTAACGAGGGTGAAATATTGCTGAAAATGTTCACACGCCTTTCTGAATTTTTCTGAATTTTCCGACGTTGAAGTAGTTACAACATTCTTAATTTCTTCAAGGTTTATTTTATGACAGTTCATAGCTTGTAAAAGGCCTCTTACGCCACTCCTCAACGCTTCGTTAATGATCGTTTTCACTTTGGGGATTTGGGTGTCAAGCGATGCTTTCAAAGCAGTCAGGTCGGCCTTGTGTTGGTTCGCAAATAATATTTTTACTTCGATGGTAATCTTATTGAAGGCTTGTTCGGTGGTGTCAGTGAGGGTAGTTTGGAGGTCTTGAACGGCTTGTTTACTCATACTATAAGCACTATTTAATGAACTGAAGAGGCCTTCTATTGCCTTATCTAATGCGACATCTGCCTTGTTGACTTCTCCGCTAATGGAAACAATATTTAGTTGAAGAATGTAAATTTTTTCTCTAATCCTATCCATAAGCCCTTCCGCATTTCCCTTCTGGGTATCGACAAAATCGGGAACGTGCTTTAAGGAGTCAAGTTGCTTTCTAATCTGCTCGACTGCGGATTTCAGCGTCTCGTTAGCCGTGTTGAATTGCGTCATGAAATCACCCTCGCCAAATGTTTTTTCTATCTTACTTCCATCTCCACTAGTCGGCCCAACCTTCAAATTCAGTATCCCTTTAATCTTATTTTCAAGGTTGTCGGATGGAGTTGGCTGGTCAGCGGAGGAGTAGGGAGTAACGGTAGTGTCGCGGCGCACTGCAGTTGCAGTGTCAAGATTATCGTGAAGCTCTTTAATTTGTTTACCGACCGCACTCAACGTCTTAGTAATCCTACTACCTGTCTCCCCGTTTTTACCGTCTCCAAGCGCCGTTTTTATTTTTTCAACATCCCCTATGGCCAGCTGCAGATTCAAGCCGAGGTTGAAGAAGTTATTCTTCTGGGTGGGGGTAGTGAACTTCTCAAGCGTTTTGGCAACTCCAGTTGCCGTCGACGATAGAGCAATGAGTGTAAGGTGGACAGCTTCCTGGAGTTCGCGATTTCCGGTATGGGCGGAATTCAAAACATTATCCAGGATATTACTGGATATAGTGCTTGCTGTAATACCTTTAGACGGATCTTTCAATTTTTCATCTAGCTCCGCCGCGAAAGTGGTACAAGCGTCCCTCACGTATTGCAGATTCGACGTAATGTCGTCACCTGGCTTTCCTTTAAATTTTTGCGTGGCCGGTGTAATGACGTCACTGTCAAGCTTGTCCCTAATGTGTTTTGCGATGCTACCGATTGTTTCGTCATTAAATTCCTTTTCGCTCTTATTCAATTTATCGGCCAGCTGACCCTTGTTTCCACCAGCCTTAATATACTCACCAAGCCAATGCTTAACAATTCCATTGTCTTTAAAAATCCTGGTAATCCATCCCTTTACTACACTCTTGAAATTCTGCTGAGAAAACAGCCCCGCGTACCACTTCACATGGTTGAAAATGTTACCAAGATTTCCAGATATAACAACTTGATCACTTTTGGAGGCCTCCGTTTTTGCTTCCTTATTATATATTTCCGCGATAATTCTCGTAATCTCTGCCTTAATCCCTTCCCAACTTCCAATTATACCGCTCTTTTGGCTTATTCCATTCTCACCAACCCACCCCTTAATTATATTCACCTTACTTTGAACTTCTTTCACATACTTATTCACATATCTATTCATCTCCTCCTCAATTTTCCCTTTCAGCGAATTTAAATCCCTTTTCACGTTTTCTTCCAAAGTTGTTACCATCTCATTTGCACTCTTGAATTTCGTCTGCAGCGTAGTGTTTTCCGAAGTCTTGTTAACAAACATCTCAAGGTATTTCTTAATATCGTCAAAATGCCGCGAAATTGCATTTTTATGCTTATAGTCAAACTCTCCATGATACTCTTCCACGTGTTCTTTAGCCACCCGAACAGCTTCATTTAGGGCATCGAAGTGCACAATCTTAGTCCTTTTCAAGTTGCTAATATTTTTTTCTACATTTCTGAATTGCGTATCTAAACTGCTCTGCACTCTCTCACTCTCCGTGTGTATAGCATTAGCTACGTGCCATCTCTGCCTCACCAACTCATCGTCCACCCTCTTCGCCTGATCCATCAGCGCAGGGTCCAAGCTAACACTTCTCATATGCTCTACCACACTTTTCACAGACACGAATTCATGCATAATTGTATTTCTAAGTGAACTATCTAAAACATTAATTTTCTCAGTCTGAATTTTGTTCACCTCAGTTTCGAGGCTTTGGACAGTGGTCCGCCAAGCAGTCAACTGCTTTTCAAGCGGCTCGCTAATTTTTTCATTTACTTGTGTGACATATTTATTACCTAAGTGATCACTAAGTTCGCTAAGTGATTTATTTACATTATCAGTGCGCTTATTAAGTTCATCATCATAGTCATGAAGCACACGATTCACATGATCTATGCAAACACGAAAACCATAATCACCACGATGCATATGTTCTAAAATTTTATTAAGGTCTTTTTGTGATATAAAGCTATATGTGGAAACGCTTGGATCATCCCTCAAACTTTGGAGAACTCCATGAAGGAAAGACATCACCCCGTCGCAGAGCCTGTCAAGGTCCGAGTACACAATTCCCTCTCCGGTGTAATTACCATCATGGTAGCCGAGAAAATTTTCGAGGCCTGTGCAGAGGTTTTCTAAAAGGTTTTTAGTGTTATCAGATTTTTGATCAATTTTCTCAGCAAAATCACAAAGCTCTTTCAGTGTCCCAAGAGACTTCTTGGATGACTGATGAGAGTCAAGAGATTTAGACTCTTTTTCAGGGAAATTATTTTTTGCTTCATTAAGCTTCTTTTCAAGTTCATTAAGCTTATTTTTAAGGTCTTCAAGTTGTACATCATTATTTTGCTTAGCATCAATTTCCTTTTTAAGGTCATTCACTTGACGTTGAGCGTCAACAACTTTCTTTTTCTTAGAGTCAAGTGCAGTAATTTTACTTTGAACAGCGTCAATTACACTTGTAATTTGATCTTTAAGCGGAGAACTTTGTGAGAAAATTGTATCTTTATGCTGCTTAATTTCCCTTGTAAGCCTCTCAATCTCAGACTCACTGTCGGACGGCGTCCCTACGGGCGCCTCACTTTTTTCAGCAATATCTTTTTGCTTTTTAAGGCCATTAATTTTTGTTTCAAGATCATCATATTTCTTAAATGTATCTTGAAGATTTTTAAGGTCATCACGGAAACTCTTAATATTACAATTACACCCCTTACCTCCGCAAGATGCTTGTAAACGCTTTTCAAGCTCATTTACATTGCTGTGCAAACCCTTTACAATTGCTTTTTTGACTTCCTCACTCCCACCAATAAATCCCGAAAGCTGTCCAGCAAGCGTACCAAGAGATATACGGCGGGCATCAATATCATCCAAGGCTCCGTTTCTGGCATCCTCAGTAAGATAATGAACTTCATTATAATGGTTATTATAGTTGGATTGAAGGTGGATTAAGGGGAGAGTTAAAGGAAGTAAAGGGAGGTGAAATGGCACATTTTAGGGCGATTTGTGGGAATTTGGGGAAAGGCGATTTCAGGTCAAGGAGGCAGCGAGGCAGTGAGGGGGGTGGGTGGACAGGGTGAGGGAGGTGAAGGGGCGAAAGAGGGCGATGAGGGAGGAAGATGGGTTGAGGAGAGGGGATTTCGGAGGAGAGAGGGAGGAGAAAAAATGAAGATTAGGTGAGACCTAAACAGAGGAAATGTGATGGAAATGAAGCAGAAACAGGCATCAGTGAAAATAAGATGAGTGGTTGAAGTAGGTAAGTGATATGCAAATTAGGTAGGTAGTTGAAGTAAATGAGGTAAGTGAGTAGGTGAGTGAGTGGGTGGGTGAGTGAGTGAGTGGGTGGTTGAGTGGGTGGGTGAGTGAGTCGTTGGGTGGGTGGTTGAGTGGGTGATTAGGTGAGTGGGTGAGTTGGTGGTTGAGTGGGTGAGTGAGTGAGTGGGTGATACACAGATCACACGTGAAGGCACGATTATAGTGAGAAGTACTTGACGTTGGCGAGTGCCTTGACGCGTGCGGCGGCGAGGAGGGACTGCGCGGCGATCCTGTGGCTTGAGGGTGATCTCAGGTGGGAGCGTATCCTCAGGACGTCGAGGCGGACGACGGTGATGTGCAGCAGGTAGAGGAGCGAGAGCGACCAGAGGGCTAACAATGTACACATAAAAGGCCATCTGATAATGCATAGGAAATTGTCACATTCCTTGAACAGCTTATCAAAATATGTTGATTTAAGTACATTTTGTAATTGAGTACAGAGATCTGAACACCTTTTAGGCGTGCGATTAGCGTTCAGCATCGACGGATTGCCAAACATGAAACCATATGTATACAAGGTTGGCATCACGCCTCTGCATTGAACCATGCTGTTGCATTGGCAATGTGGCGCCTTTGTTTTTTCGTCGACAAGTCCATGTTGTCCTCGTCTACATTTATTACCGTTAAGGCATTTGCTACATCCGCAGTCCTGGCATAATAGTGCTTTGAGGGCGTCAAGCAGACTTTCAAGGTATTTATGTAATACCCATGGAAGATAAATAATCCAGGAGAGGTATAAATTGGAGTGCATTGTTGCAAGATTGTTGTACGAATCGGAGCATAATGTTTCTATATAAGGAGCACAGTTTGCGTCTGGGCCGGAACACGGCGTAGTCATTGCAAGGCTTGACAAGTTAGAAAGTCCGGGTAAATGGTCCTTATCTTGATGATCATCCACACTGCTACCATAAGCTTTTGTAAGTGCATCAGTAAGGTCAGATGTATTTTTATATAAATCGATGGACTGTTCGGATGCAGATTTTACGAAAGCATCGGCAAGTATTGTATGGTTGCTATGTTTTGGTGCTAACGGTAACTTAATGCCACTAACCAACGACTTTACAAATCCGAAATGTTCGGGTAAGTTGCTCGGCGGTTTGGCCGCAACGTAGAACAAGGCTGTGAGGTAGTCATTACCCAGGAATTTGCCCAGCACGTTACACAGCTCTTTACCTCTACGCGTACTACTAGAGAAACCCCTAAAGCCCATTGGAGTTATACACGGCATTCCAGGCATAGATTTGGGGCAAGTGTTACAGACTGTTTTGCAACCAATCGAGGTTACATCGTGAGGTAAGTGGCCGATTAGAGAATCGGTTAAGTAGCACTGAAGTGGCGATGTTGGTTGGCAGCTTGGTTGGTCATTTGCCTGGCAATTTGGTTCGCACTTAGGTTGGCACTTTGATTTGTCTGCTGAGTGAACGTTACATGGCCACTTGGTCGTCGGGATATTCTTGCCATATTGGCAGCCGGCCCAACCATGGTGCCTGGAACCGAGACCACATTGACCATACATAAACCTGAAAACAGGGAATAATCTGCGGAATATGTCAACCAGTGTACGTAAACAATCCGCGCCGCTGGTTGGATATCCGAGGCGTAGAGAATTGTTATAGTAATCGCTGGCGTAGTATGTGGATGCGTCACCTGTGCCGAGGATAGTGGTAAGCAGATTATGTGACCAATTACCTAAACTAGGCAAACCATAATGCACGGCATCTGAGACACGCTGTTTTAAATCACTGTCTTGCTTCGTGTCGTACTCGCTACAGTACGTGGTGAGCTTGTCATAGATAGCGTTGTATTCAAGACCGGAGCACCAAACAAGCATCTCGTACACAGAGCATGGATTTCTAGGTGAGGATACAATTGTAATATGACCAATACGGAAATATTGATGAAGGTGAGTTGTAAGGCATAAAAGGATGTCTAAGACGTTAAAGGATTTTTTAGGTGATAAACAGTCTGTAATATGTGGAATCGTAGCGGCACCGCTAATTGGCCCTTTAAGAGTGCCATAAATATTCTCCCCCTTGTACTCGTTTAAAGGTAATTTCAACTCGCCATCCTTGGAAGCTTGATTTTTGGCCACCTTGTATCCGAGACGCTTGAGGAATCCACCGAGCGATTTTTCGTCGTTTTCATCTTCACATAATTTTTGGCCTCTCCATTTTCCGCCGCAGTCATCTTGTAATTTATACAAATTTTCGTACATCATTCTTAGAATGCTAAGGAATACTCTAGCGGCCTTTCGACCCTCCTCAGTGAACTCATTGATACGCTTGGATTCCCTAGTGTCAACTTGGTATCCATCAAACGCCCACCTATCTTTAGGTTTTTGACCACTATACTTATTCACGTACGCGTGGGAGAGTTGCTCGGTGAATTTGGTCATGCCGGACTTGAGGGCGTCGAGGAGCAGCGGGTTGTGGAAGCCGTGGAAGTGGGAGGGGGAGAGCTTAAGTAGAGACGCATTAAGAGCATCTAAATAAGACGTGGAAATGTGATCGAAAGTGTATTTATTATCATCATGATGAGCAACATATTTTATCAAGCGGTCGAACGCATCTTTAATGTCTCCGACCTGAAGTGACTGCTCAGTGGGCTTGACAATGGCACTTGGATTTCTCGCTTGACCACCGATGTAATCCAAAATAATGTCTGAATATTCTCTGAATTTGTCGGATACGTTTTTTAATTTTGTACGATCTTCTGTGTTTCCCTGAGGTTTCACGGCTGGCGCAGGAGACGGAGATACAAGACGCTGGATTTCTTCAAGCGTACTTTTATTACTACTCATCCACTTTAAAAGCCCCTTAACACCGTTGCTTTTATCATGTCTAATTATTTTATCGATCTCTTTTTCCTGCCCGTCGACCAGCGTTTTGAGCGCCGCCAGGTCGGCTTTGTGGCCCTGGGCGAAGAGAGCGCGGACCTCGGAGGTGAGGGTGGCGAAGGCTTGGGAGACGGCATTTTCGGCTTTTTTGTGGGCTTCAGTTATTGTAGATCGGAGTTCTTGTATAGCGGTGTTTAAGGCGTGGTTTACGTTGCTGACGTCTGCAGCAATAGCATTAAGTTTGTGCTTGAAATCAATTTTCAAGTCATCAATAAGCGTTTCTGCAACATTCTTTCCTTTTTCAACGCTCCCATCTGACTCTTTTCCGTTTTTAAGAGTGTCGAGCTTTGTAAGAACTTCTGTTTTAAGCTTTTCGACGGCCTTGGGAAGGCTGCCACTGGCATCATGCAGTATTGTAATAAGGTGCGTGATCGCAGGTGCCACCCTTTTCAATGAGTCGTCGATTAAATTACCGTAGTCTTCTGGCGATAGTCCTAGATCTTTCTTGTCGTTAAATTGCTTGCTGATATCTCCAATCTTCGATCTAGCCGCCTCCAGATGTTTGCCAAGGTTGTATTTCTCAGCGTTATCGTCATCATCAATGCCATCGTCCTCGCCGGCAAATGAGTAGACTGCATTTCCAGCCTGTCTCGCGGCACCAATGAGCTCGCTGAGGACAAATTCAATGGTGGGTGCGAGCAGAGATTTGTCCTTGGTGGTGGTCTTCTTGGCCGATGAGGTAATTGCCGTCTCCATGGCCGTGGCTATGGCTGCGAAAAAAGTAAACTTAGTATCCGTTGAACCAGTGTGATATTCTTTTGTGATCCTCTCTTCAAGTCTCCCTGCGAATGTCACACAAGCTGCATTGACAGCGTTAACACTCTTTTCAACTTCGTTTTCGCCGGTCATTGCTGTTAAAACAGCAGCTGCTACAGCTTGACTTATTTCTTGCTTGAGCTCACCGACAATTGCTTTCGCAACCGCTGGAATGCCCTCCTCTAGCTTATTGAATAAAGCCTCAAGATTGACCTTTTTGTCATCCTTTACGTACTCCCCCAGCGCGGCAGTAACCGCTTTACTCCCCAAAATTCCTGTCAACCACTCCTGTACTACTTCCCCAAACGAACCATCATTTATTCCATTTGTTTTGAACCTCTCCGCATACTTCTTAATACCTTTAACAATTTTGTCAAATATACCATCCGCCTGGGCACCTCCATCACCAGGACCCACGCCGTTAAGCTCCTTGACAAAATTCTGCATTTTTGTTTTAAGCATACTCCAACCGCCATATATAGTATCTTCAAACCCATGACCGCCAATGTTACTTTTGATCTCCCCAAAGTATCTTTGAGCATCTGCGACCAAAGCGCCCAGCTCAATTTTTTTATTGGTTAAGCTATTGTGTATATCGTTGACGTGCTCTTTTATATTGTCAAAATGCCAGATTATTTCTTTTTTACATCTTTCGTCGAAAGCTTTTGGCAAGAAAGCCTGGGCCCTCTTCACAGCGCTATTAACATGTCCAATTTGCGTCTCTTTGCTATTATTCAAGGACGTAACATTTGCACGGATGTGGAAAATCTGCTCTAATAATGCACGCTTGAGTTTCTTTTCTTCTTCCATTAACGCCTGATCCACCTCCTTCACCTTGCTCTGAAGCCCCTCCTCCTTAGCCGCCCCAAGCAGCACCTCCACCGATTTCTGAATCGGCTTAATCTCATGCATTATACGTGACTTAAGTGCGCTATCTAAGACATTAACGTTCTGTGTTTCTATGTTTTTGAGCTCCTTGGCAATCTTCCCGAGCGTCCCCGTCCACAGCATCAACTGCGTACTCAGCTCATTATGTTCATTCACCTCTTGATAAAAATCATTTTTACCTGCACCAGATGATAATTTATCAATCAACTCACCTAATCCTCCAGTCACTGCTCCAGTCTTCTTTTCAACTTCTCCATTATATTTCCCCAACCACTCCTTCACCTCGTTCACAGACAGCGAAAGGCCATTACGCCCAGTGCCAATTGAAGAAGTAAGTGTGTCAAGAACTTTATTAAGCTTATTTTCTTCACCAATGTATTCATTGTATGTTATAACGTTATCATCATCCTTCACTCCACTGAGAACACCATGAAGGAAAGACATCACCCCGTCGCAGAGCCTGTCAAGGTCGGAGTACACGATGCCGGAGCCGGTGTAATTACCATTACTGAAGCCGAGAAATTTTTCGAGGCCTGTGCAGAGGTTATTTAATAATGATGTTGAAGGATTATTTTAGGCACATTTCCAGGGCGATTTGGGGGAATTTGGGGAAAGGCGATTAGTCAAGAGCAGTGAAGGAGAGTGGAATGGACAAAGTGAGTGAAAAAGGGAGCGAAAGGAACGATGAAAATAAGTTAGAATAAAGAGATTCAGAGGTGAAAGGAAAAAGGAAAATAAAGGATTTAGTGAAAGACATAAACAGAGGAAAATGTCGGAAGAATGGAAGAGGAACAAGAAGCGATAGAAGAAAAGAAATGGAAGTAAATAAATGAAGTAAATTAAAAGAAGTAAGTAAGTGGAATTAGAGTAAAGTAAGTAATGGTTAAATGGTCGATGAAATGGTTAGTTAAGTGGTGAAGTGCGATGAATTAGATTGGAATAATGGTTGAAGTAGTTGAAGTGGATTTGAAATGGAGTAGGTAGTTGAAATTAGTTGAAATGAATTTAGAGTAGATTGAAGTGAAGTAGTTAGGTGGTTAGTAAAGTAAGGTGAAGTAAGTACATAAGAGTAGGTAGATGCATGAGATTGGTAGTTAGGTAGGTGGTTAGTGAGTAGTTGTGTGAAGGTAGTAAATGATGGGTGGCTGATTAAATGTGGTTTAGTAGTTGAGTGGTTGGGTGAGTGGTTGGGTGAGTGGTTGAGTGTGTGAGTGGGTGGGTGAAGGCACGATTATGGTGAGAAGTACTTGACGTTGGCGAGTGCCCTGACGCGTGCGGCGGCGAGGAGGGACTGGGCGGCGATGCGGTGGCTTGAAGGTGATTTTAAGTGGGAGCGTATCCTCAGGACGTCGAGGCGGACGACGGCGATGTGCAGCAGGTAGAGGAGCGAGAGCGACCAGAGGGCTAATAGGAGGTAGGAGAAGGGTGTGCGAATTGTCCATATGAATTCGTCGATGACCTTGAATAATTTCCTGAAATGTTCTGACTCGATTACTTTTTTCAACTGTGCGCAGAAATTGTCGCACGTTTTCCTGCTTGAGCCATTCATCAACCTCTCTGGGTTGCCGAACGTGAAACCATATCTGAAGAGCGTTGGTTGGACACCACTGCACTGAACCATAGACAGGCAGTGACATCCGGGTTTTGGTTGGGCGTTTGGTTCGGACTTTGCTTGGCCAATTGCCTGGCCGATTGGTTGTGCTTTTGGTTCCGACTTTGGTTCGCTGACGCCATGTTTCCCAGTTAAGCAGTTACATGATGAGCAACCTGACGATTTGCAATCAATACCACAGAAAGCCTCGAACAGTGATTTGAGCAATTCATGGAAGTCCCAGGCAAGGTACAAAAACCATGAGAAATATACCTCGGCGTGTTTTTGAGGGAATGTATGATACGCATCAAAACACGAAGGCTGGAGGTAGTATGCACAGGTGAGTGACTTAGTGCAATTGGACGGCACGGTGACACTCGACAAGTCCGAATGCGTACCCGTTTTTGTGGCTGCATCTGGTTTGGGAGAATGTATGTGATCATGGTCGGAGTTATGCAATTTGGAAAGGGCATTTGTTAACCCCTTTGTCTGCGTGTTGTCACTCAGGAAAATGGAGACTTTCGGTATTATCTTATTCTCCAGGTGGGCAGTGAATTCGAGATTGTCGGCGTACTTACCAGGGGCTCGGCATCTCAATAAGTTATAATATAGGCCAAACATCTCGTGCAACGTTTTCGGAGGCTGTGGCTTTAAGGACATAAGACAACGATACAGCGAAGGCAAAGGTGATTCTGCCTCTTTACAAAACTGATCTAAAATTTCACATATATCCCTGCCAGTGCCGCTAATAGATGCCGATGTAGAGATGTCCCAGAAGCCCATTGGGGTAACACATTGTTGGCCAGGGGACAATCTAGGACAGGTGCCACATGATGTCTTGCAGCCTATGGTAGTGAGCTGGTGAGGGAGCTGACCGAGCAAGGAGTCACTTAAGTACGACTGAAGTGGTGATCTAGGCTGGCACTCAGATTCATTGCTAGCGTGATTTTTGCACGGCAATTTAGTGGACATTACATCTCTACCGTACTTGCAATCACGCCACCCGTTAGCCTGGGATACGGTTAATCGACACTGGTGATACAAAAATACAAGGGCGGTATGCAGTCTTGAAACCAAATATTTCATGGTGTCCATGAGTTCATCAACACCTGACGGATAATAAAATCTGCCGTGATTATTAGACCAATCCATAGCATATGGGTACGCAGCGTTCTGCGCACCGCGACCGGTACCGCAGATCGTAAGGAGCAAAGTGCTCGAAAGGGTCATTGTAGACGACAGACTGTTTAATAATCTGGAATTGTTCAATTTCATGATGGGATCTGTTTCCTCATTCTTCATGACTAATTTGTAGTATTTATCTCTAAACGCTTCGTAGACTGGTCTATACTGCAGTCCACAGAACCATGACATAATGTCGCGGATTGTGCACGGCAGCTTTGCGTTGGCGTAATGTGTTAAGTGCGAACCCCTGTAGAAAAGGTCTGCGTAGCTGTGAAGTTTACACAAGATCCCCTCCGATTTCCGAATGGAATGAAGGTAATGGGCGAAATTTGGCTGAGCGGGATTCGGAGGTTGCCGGAATTCATGACCTTGGAACGCCTTGCTGAGAATATCTTTGACATGTCGTCCGGTTTTATCTTTCTTTAGATTTTGAATCTCATAGCCTTGGTTTGTTAAATATTCTTTTAATTCGTCCCTATTTGTACCACGCGTTGCGGTGCCGTCAACACTGAAATTGCGCCACTCCATACAAGAGTTATAGAACAAACAAAACAATTGTTCATAAAACGTTGAAATGGTAGTAACACATACGCTCGGGCACTTCTCAAATTCATCAGAATTCTCGTCCCATGTCAAAGCTTTCGCGGCGCCCGAATACGTCGAGACGTACGCCTTTTCCATTTCGCCGGCCAAAGCCGAAAAGCCCTTTCTAAAACCTTCAAGAATATACGAATACGTTCCCTCGCCGTACGATTTAGGGTTAAACTCGGTGAGTGATTCGTTGAGTTTTTCTAGGTTGGTGCTAAATTTGTGGTCGAAATGCCGCGAATATTGTGGGCCTTCTAGCAGTGTGTCGAGAGCCTTTCGACTTGGCCTAATTTTTTCGGAGTCAGATGTAAATTCGGAGTGCTGTTTGAACTTGATGAAAAAGGAACTTAAAGCGGCTCTAAATTTTGTCGCCGCTTGGCTCAGTGGAGAGTTATCTTTTGTAAGTATTTTAGGATCAATGCGTTTTATCTCTTCGGCCTTAGTGCAGAACTCCGTTTCGAATAATTTCATAAACTTTTTGTGCCCCTTTTCTAAGTCTTCACTAATCTGCGTGGGCAATCCGTCCAGCTCGCTCGTGACTTTCTCGACGAATTGCTGAACCAGGAACTTGATAGTCATCACGTACTGCTTGCGAGCGTTGCTGACCATTTTCGTTTCCGCGTCTGTGATTTCCCTGTTGACACTTTTGTTGAGCGGACCTATGATGTTTTGGCAGGTCTTGTCGGCGTGATGATCAAGGAAATATTTGAGGTTGTGTATGGGACCACTGTCCAGCTCCTTCTGCAGCTTACTGATGTCGCTGTGGATTTTGTTGATGCTGCCTTGGGCGTCCGTCGACTGCGCAAAAAACTTGCTCTTCAGCTCTTCCAATTTACTTTTCGCGCTGTCTTTATCGAGTTGTGCGGCGTTCTTAATTTCTGCGCAGAGGGCTTTAAGGGTGTGGGTAACTGCAGAGGCCTGCACTAATATTGCATTTTGCGCGGCATATGCCTCGCCTTCCAGCCTGCCGTCTAGCTTTTGAATAGCGTCAAGATGTTCACTAACGATCTTCTTTACCTCTACTTGAGCCGCATTAATTCCGTTGAATGCGGCAGTTTGGAGGAGACTGAAGAGCCGGTCGTTGACGTCCGTGGCTTTCTTTCCTATCGCTTCTCCGAGGCCGTTGACAATCTCCTGGTAAATGCTCGAGGCTGCGATTGCAGGAGTCTTTTCGTCCCATGCATTTTTCGCAGAATTCAGATTACTCAAGAATCTTTCTAGGTTTGCCCCAAGACCATCAACGCCTTTTAGTCCGACCGTCATCTCAAGTCGCCCCCCAAACTTAGGCAACGTCCATAAATCAGTTCCTTGCAATGCCTTCAGACCGGGAATATGACCTCGCACAAAAGTTGGATTCGCTTTTTTTACAGCATCTCTCAAAGCTGATGCCAACGTCCCAACATACCACTTAACGTTGCCTTCAATTTGCGTTGTGAGAAAATCAATCAAATATTTCATGTTCCATACATTATTAACGCTATCGTCGTTAAAAGTCTTAAAATCTCCCGGCACCTTACTTCTAACTTCATTCTCAACCTCACTAAGCTTCTTCACCGCGCAGTCTCCTTTCCCGTCTCCGTCCTGCCCCTTCACCTTCGCAACAACGTCATTATACTTGTCCCTCAACTGCTCAAATTGAAAATGTAGCACTCCGGCCTCTCCCTCAATCTGCTGGATCGCCTGGTCAATTGCACTCTTATTCGATCCGTCAACTTCCTCTATAATTTTTTCCACATGTGCCAATGCCTTTTGAACCGCGGAATCCGCATCGCCAATCCACTTACCCAGAGCCACGACATGCTGTCGCAACTCCTTGCTAAGTTTCTGAAGCGCCTGCAAAATTGGCTTTAAGGCTTCCTTCAACTCCCTCACAAGCCTCCTAACATCTGCTTCAATCTTCTTATTTACGTTACATTTCACTTCACTTAACGCACTCTCAATATTTTTCTGCAGTGCATCAAGGTTCTCTTTCTCCTTCGCCGCCACGTTATGAAGTCGACCTTTCTCATGCTCAACATTATTCTTAACAACACGCACTCTATTACATAAAGTATTATTAAAATTATCAATAGTTTCGCTATGTGTGCTAAGTGATGCTACAAACGCCGAAGCGTTGTTCTTGCACTCTTCCAGCTTGGAGTCTATAAGGCCGACGGTCTCCCTTTGCTTCTTGTCATTGTAATCTATCTTCCTCCCCTGCGCATCATTTTCAGGCCATACATCACTTACCGTATTTTTAAAATTCTCGCCGACTTGTCCCTGCAACAATTTGATTTGTTCACTCACCTTTTTGTTCGACGCCTTGACACTCTCATTATACTCCTTCACCCCCTCCACCACCTTGCCAATCGCATCATTAAAACCCTCTTTGCCACGGTGTTTATTGGCGTTAAGAGACTCAATTGCAGTTTGAACATCATCTTTATGTAAGCCTAATTTAGGCTGAATGTTATCTAAAACACCATGAAGGAAAGACATCACCCCGTCGCACAGCCTGTCAAGGTCGGAGTACACAATTCCTTCTCCGGTGTAATTACCATCCTGGTAGCCGAGAAACTTTTCGAGGCCTGTGCAGAGGTTATTTAATAATGTTATCGAAGGATTATTTTAGGCACATTTTGAGGGCGATTTGGGGGAATTTGGAGAAAGGCGATTTTAGGTCAAGGAGGCAGCGAGGGAGGTGGGTGGACAGGGTGAGGGAGGTGAAGGGGCCAAAGAGGGCGACGGAGGGGGATGATGGAAAATGAGGATTTAGGAGAACCCGACTGGAGATGATAAGAGAAGAAGAGAAAAATTTCGAAATGAAAAAGTAAATGAAGTGATTAAGAGTAGTAGTGATTAAATAATAAATGAAGTGAAGTGGAAGAATAGGTGGTTAGAGTGAGTAAATTAGTTAAATGGAATGATAAGGTAAGTAAGTAAGTTAAATGATGGATTGAAAATAGATGAAGTGAAAGATTAGTAAATGGTGAAGTAAGTAGTTGAAATGGCCAGATGAATTGAAATAAGTGGAATGGATTAAAGTAAGTAGATGATGATAAATGAGGTAATAAAGTAAATGCGTCGTTAAATGATATTAAATGATAGGTGAAATGCTTAATATATAATGGATGCGTGAATTAAATGAAATGCATTAAGAAAATGCATTAGCGTAAAGTAAATGATGAATTAAATGGGTAAGTAAATAGAGTAAGTAAGCCAATGAATTGAAGTAAGTAGTAGTTGAAATAGGTAAAGTAAGCAATGAGTAAATGCAGTGATAAGTAATGTAAATGGTAAATGATTAGAAATGAGTAAATGGGTAAATGCATTATATAGTAAAATTATTTAAGTAAAGTAAGTGATTAAATGTAAATGCAGTACGTTAAAATGCATTTAGAAGTAAAAAAAATGCGTTAAGTAAAGTAGATTAAAATGCAGTAAGTTAAATGAATTAAGTAAAGTGGGGTAAATGAATTAAATGCATGAGTAAAATGGTTAAATGCATTGGATTAAATAAATGCGTTAAGTAAGTAAATAGAGTAAGATGAAGTAATGTGAGTGAGCATTGAATGTAGTCGTTGAGTGAATTGAAGTAGGTGGGTAGTTGAAGTAGAGTAGGTAAATTAGTTGAGTAAGGTAGTTGAAGTGTTGATGGGTAGGTAGGTAGTTAGGTAGTAGAGTAAGGTAGGTAGTTGAGTGAGTGGTTGAAGTAGGTAGAGTAGGTGGGTGATTAATGTGAGTAGGTGTTGGTTAGTAGGTAGGTGGTTGAGTGGGTGGGTGGGTGAATTGCATTATGGGTGGGTTAGTGATGGTTGAAGTGGTTGGGTAGGTGATACAGATCACACGTGAAGGCACGATTATGGTGAGAAGTACTTGACGTTGTTGAGTGCCTTGACGCGTGCGGCGGCGAGTAGCGACTGCGCGGCGATGCGGTGGCTTGCGGGTGATCTCAGGTGGGAGCGTATCCTCAGGACGTCGAGGCGTACGACGGCGATGTGCAGCAGGTACAGGAGCGACAGCGACCAGAGGGCTAATAATAACGACATAAATGGCCATCTGATAATGCATAGGAAATTGTCGCACTCTCTAAACAGGTCCTTGAAATATTTTGAATCAAGCACTTTCTTTAGTTGTTTGCAAAAGTCGGAGCATTGTTTCACCGATTTAACGTCATTTATCTTCCATGCTGCGCCAAACCGTAATCCATACCGGTACAATATGGGTGACACGCCTCTGCAGTTTACAATGGATGAGCAATCACATGCTGATTTCTCATCGGTGAGACCATGTTTGCCACGCTTACAGTTATCGCCACGCAAACAACTGCGACATCCCCAATCCTGGCAGTTGATATTACAAAAGGCCTCATACAAATTGCTAAGTAACTGCCAGAATGTCCATGGGAGGTAGATAGCCCATGACAAATATAGGTTGGCATTCCTTCCGGCCGCATAATTATATGAATCTAAGTACAACGATGCTATATAAGGGCGCAAGAAAAATCGTTGCCGGAACACACAGTCATGTGCTTGTGAAGGCATAAGCTTAACAAGTCTTCATGTTTGCCGTCTTGGTGTGATGTTTTGCTCTCCTCATTGGTACCCTTGGAACCATAGATATTTCTAAGTGCATCACAAAGTTCATTGGCATCGTTGACTTGATATATGGATGACTGTTTCATAGACTTTTCGAATGCCGATTGGAGGTCATTCTTATTTCGTGATGAACCTGTCTGCCAACCTCCGAAATGCTGCATTGCAAAACAAATGTGTTCGGGTAGAGTGGATGGTGGTTTAGGAGCGATACAGAATAAGGGTGGAAGAATGCAAATACTGAAGAATTTTTTTATAAGTTCACGTAGCTCTTTCCCCGTCCGTGTGCTTCCGGAGAAACCGCGGAAGCCAAGAGGCGTCAAGCATGGTTGCCCAGGCTTGCTTTGGGGCACGTGTTACATGTAGCTCTACAACCGATGGAACTAAGCTGATGTGGTAAATGACCAGGAAGACAATCGTTCAGATAGGACATTAAAGGTGAAGTAGGTTGGCAATTTGGTTGTGTGTTTGGTTGGTCACTTGGTTGGCACGTTGGTTTGCTGTGTGAGTGGTTGTCACATGGCAATTTGGCTGGAGCTATGTCCTTGCCGTACTTGCAATCGTACCAACCGTGATGTATAGCACGCAATTGACACTGATTTTGTAAGAATCTGAGTGTAGGTAAAAAACGTCGAAGGATGTCGAGAAGCATGTCAAGGCACTGTGATGGAGTGGAGGGATAGTAAAAATTTAGTGCATTGTTTTGGTAGTCGGAGGCATAAACGGTGTGTTCATCACCAGTTCCCAGAATGCTGGTGAGCAATTTGTGTGAATAATTGCATAAAACTTCCAAATCGAACTCTGCAAGGGTGTGTATTTTATATGAAAAATCGGAGTGGTCGTTGGCAAACAACGAATTAAGGTGTTGCTTAAGGGGCTCATAGACACGGTGGTAACGCAGCCCGGCGCACCACTGTAGCATTTGGTTAACGGTGGTTGGTGATTTAGGTGAATCAATGTGATTAAGGTGACAGACGTTATTATATTGGTTGAGATGCTTAATTATGCATGAAAGGATGTCCGATACATTGAAGTTCTCTCCCTTTTCATTTGGTTTGCAAGCTGTAAGATGTGAATTCTTCTTCGCATCATTAATTGTGCGTTGGAGGTTGTCATAGATCTTCTGACCTTTATAGTTGGTCAGAGGGAACTTCAACTCGCCATCCTTGGAGTCTTGGTTTGTGGCCACCTTGTAACCACAATGCTTTAAGTATGCACCTAGAGGATTTTCTTTGTCACCATTTAATTCAAACAGCGTATGCTTGTCCCAATATTGGTCACATTCATACACTAACTTGCGAATGCCATCATAAACGGTTCTCAATATTGTGACACAGACCTTGGCGCAATTTTTTCCCTCGGTAGTTAATTCATATTCTGTCTCGGCCTTTTGGGCTGACGCGGAGGAGATGGTATTGGGTGGTACGGAAGGCGCAACTTTTGGAGAGACGGCGCCAGGTGTTACAGCGGGAACATTTTTGGCGTCAACACTTTTTTGTTTCAACAATTGCCCAAATGTCCTACCCGAATAGGAGGAAACATACCCCTTTTTCAGCTCTTTGACCAGAGCCGGGAATCCCTTTCTGAGAGCGTTGAGCAGCAACGGACTGTTGCCCTCGCCGTATATTTTAGGACCCAATGCAGTGACTGATTTTTCAAGTGCGTCTAAATTATTACTAAAGTCATTGTTAAAGTGCTGTGAACTAATAAGGCCAGTGAGCAATGTTGTGAGAGCCTCCTTGAACGGCGCGACTTTATAGAAGTCAGGCTTGAAGTCTTCTTGATCTTGCAAAATAGGGAATAAATCCTCAAACCCCCTATTTAAGATTTTCGTCCCTTGTGTTAACGGTGAATACTGCAGCGGATCGACTACAGAAATGTACGCCTTGACGTCCTTAATATCCTTAACTCGGTTAACAAACTTCTCGCCGAACTTCCTCATAAACCCCTTGAAGCCTACGCGCAGGTCCTCGTCGATCGCGGCGGGCAAAGGCTGCAGCTCCCGCGAGACCTTCGCGGCGAAGGCCTGGAGCAGCGCCTTGACGGAGGTGACGTAGTTGCGGCGGGCGCGGGCGGTGAGGGAGGTTTGAGCAAAGCCAATTTGAGAATTGACAAAGGCTTTTAAGTTTGTAATGGTAGCGTCGCATAAAACGTCGGCGTCGAAATCAATGAAACTGTTGGCGTCTCGAGTTAAACCGGCCAAAGCAACGGTTTGCAAGTCCAGGAAATCTTTCCTAATTTTATTGAGTTGGGTATCAATGTTCTCGGTTGTCAGATGATGTAAATATTGGTGAATGTTTTTGCCAGTTTCACGAATAGCATTGGTGAGGTTGTTGAGATTGTCGGTGATGTGCTTGAGGAAACCAATAGACCCACTTGAGGTTTCGCCGTTTAATTTATTTCCAAGCACCGTGAGTCCGTGCTTTCCGATATCATTGATCGCGTCTGGGAGTTCGCCTTTTGGTCCTTCCACCACACTGACGCTTTCTATGAACCTTTTATATTCCCCGAATTTTGGAGCGTCTTTGATATGGACTTGTTTACCTCGATCCGTTCCGATCTGCGTGTTAAGTATTTCGGATATCTTGTCGTTGATTCCGGTTTTAAGTGCGATGTTCACCTGATTTATTGGTTCCTTTACGCCCTGTATTGCGATGCCAATCATACGTCCGTTGATGTTGAGACTCTTGGCAATATTGGTGGCTTTGTTGATTACGTCCGTCAACTGCCCAATCTTGGATTCCTTGTTGAACCTCTGAATTTCTCCAGCCGCCCTCTTACTCGCAGTTGACACTGCGGTGAGGACGAATTCAACTGCAGGCTGGAGTTGATTGCTATCAGCGCCTGAGAGGCTGCGGTATATATTTCGCAGCTGCGAATGTATGTGTGAGGAGATCTCAGTAGGCCTTCTTTCATCCACTTGATGGGCAAAGTCTGTCAAAAATTGGTATATATAATCCAACTGGGCCTCAAGACTTGCCGTGATTTGGGTTTTTTTCGTAGTTCGTGCAAGGCTAGTAATTTGCCTCGTAATAAGATCTTGTATGTTCCTTTGCACTTTTGTGACATCAAGTACATGACGCCCAACATAATTAACAATAGTTGATGTAAATGTGTCTTTCGTATAAAGATCCATCAACCACACCGGCAAAACCGTATTCCAGAATTGTCCCCCCGTTCCAAACGTCCCAGCATAGTCTTTAACGCCTTGGACAATTATACCAAGAATACCGGAAGCTCCAGGAATGGCATCACCGTCATATATTTCTTTAAGGAGCCTGTTAAGCTCATCTGCGAGGTCAGTCCAATATTTCTCTATACTCATATCTGAATCGGCTTTTCCGCCGGGCCCGTTTTTTTGAACACTTTTTTTAATGGTCTCAAACTCTTCATGGGTCTTCTGAATCAACGTATGGATTTCCTGTTTGATGGCCTCTTTAACATTCTTCAAATCGTACATAAGCTCTTCGTTCAAATTGCCAACAGCGCTGATAGCACCTGCAACCAATGTGTTTACGTGCCCATCCGCCGCTGTGAAGGCTTCTCCAATTTCTCTCACAATTCTTTCGACCTCCCCTTTCCAAGAACCTGGACCGCCTTTGGACAGTTTAATTGTATTATCAACATGCCTCAGCCTTAAGTCATCAACCAGTTTTCTGCTTTCTTTTATCCATGTGCCCAACATCTCAGCAAACATTATCACCTTATTGCTGACGCTGTTGAGTTTATCTCTCATATCACTGACCTTATTTTTTACACCGGTAACTAGACAAGCCACCTTTGTGTGGACTTCCCGGTTAACATCTCTTCCTAACATTTCGAATGTGCTGTCAATACTCTGATGCATGTCCCTGAAGTCCTCCCATGCTTTCGTGGACGACTTCTTAAGTCGATCGGTCTCATCATTAACACTACGTACAGTATTTATTACGTGATGCGATAAATTAGCACTAAGATCATTTACTAGGGTTCGAATGTTGCTATGTGGACTATCAAGATTAAAAGTGTCATTGAATTTCTTGGCGTAGTCCAGACACTCCGACAGTCTCCCATTGGCCGTCCTCTCCGACGCCTTGACTTCCTCTTCCTCTTGAGTGGGCGTCTTCACCGCCGTCTTGAGCTCCGGGTTACCTGCACCAGAATGATCCTTTAAAATTCCACTCACCTGTTTTTGAAGACTCTTCATATTCCTCTGCATCTCTTCTATCTTCCCCTTGACAAGATTATTACTCCCCTCCACTTCCCTATTATACCCCCCGACACCATCGGCCACCTGGCCAATAACTCTCTTAAAACCATCATGACCTGAACACAAATTACTATTAATCTCTCCAACAAGCCTTTTAAGGTCCTCCCTGCCTACTTTGTAAGGCTGTTTATTGTAGACATCTTTAAGCACCCCGTGCAAGAACGCCATCACCCCGTCGCAGAGCCTGTCAAGGTCCGAGTACACTATGCCCTCTCCGGTGTAATTACCATTCTCGTAGCCGAGAAATTTTTCGAGGCCTTCACAAAGGTTATTTAATAATGTTGTTGAAGGATTATTTTAGGCACATTTTCAGGGCGATTTGGGGGAATTTGGAGAAAGGCGATTTGAGCGAAGCGAACACGAGGATGGAGTGCAAGATGATACGATGATGGGGTTGAAGGATATAAAATGATGGCAGTTGAAACGGATAAGAGATGATGCGATGAGTGAAAGTGATGATGAAAGAATGAGGAGGTGAGGATGCGACGATGGATGATGATGAGGATGGTCAAATGAAGCGAATGAGAGGATGCGATGGTGATTAAAGAGTTCAGGATGAGCGGGCGGTGATGAGGGTGAGTGGCGGTAGATGGTTGATGGTTGATGGTTGGAGTGTGAGTGGTGAATGAGTGGGTGAGTGGTTGAGTGAGTGAGTGGGTGAGTGAGTGGGTGGGCGCAACGTGAAGGCAAAACGATTATGGTGAGAAGTACTTGACGTTGACTATTTTCCCAACGCGTGCGGCGGCGAGGAGGACTGTGCGGCGATGCGGTGGCTTGAGGGTGATCTCAGGTGTGAGCGTATCCTCAGCACGTCGAGGCGGACGACGGCGATGTGCAGCAGGTACAGGAGCGACAGCGACCAGAGGGCGAGCAATAATGACATGAAGGGGAATCTGATTTCTTTCAGGAAATTATCGCACTCCTTGAACAGATCCTGGAAATATTCTGATTTTAGCACTTTCTTCAACTGACTGCAGAAATCCTTACACTTCTTCGGCGTCTTACCACCATTCAACGTCGACGCCTCGCCGAAGCTGAATCCGTACTGGTAGAGCGTAGGTGCCACGCCTCTGCATTTCACTATGGAATCACACTGACACGTGGCATCTGCTTTCTTCTCATCTTCAACGACGCCGTGCTTGCCGCTCTTGCACTTGTCTCCTCTGAGACATCCGCGGCATCCCCAGTCTGCACAAGTGATTCCACAGAAAGCGTTATATAAATGGTTTAGTAGATCCCAGAATGTCCATGGGAGGTAAATGGCCCATGACAAATACGTGTTAGAATTCTTAAATGGTAGACACGTGTAGTAACCTCCGCAGAGTGATGACAGATACGGAGCGCAGTGATTATTTTTGTTACACGTGTTAAAAGCTGTAAGATTCAACAGATGGGGATCCTGGCATTCGGAATGGCCAACTGATTCAGAACCGTAGGCATCACGAAGCGCATCTGTAAGTTTGTTAGCTTCCTCATACAGACTAATGGACAGCTTCGTAGCCGAGTCCTCGAAGGATTTTTGGAAGTAAACCTTATGATACGTTTTGCCATCATGCCACCCGCGCACAAGAGCGGACGCAAATTCGAAGTGCTCTGGCAACGTCCGTGGCGTTTTGGGTGCAAGACCAAACAGTGTATAAACATTTCTTATTTCCAATAATTCCCCGATGACGGAGGACAAGTACGCCCCTGTTTTGGTGGAACCAGAGAACCCCCGGAAGCCAAGGGGAGTCAGACAGGGCATCCCTGGTATACCGCCAGGGCAGGTGGCACATTTCGCTTGGCAGCCGATAGAGGACAAGTTATGTGGAAGGTGTCCGATTAAACTGTCACTTAGATACGACTGAAGGGGCGATTTGGGTAGGCATTTGGTTGGCTCTTTGGTTCCCTGTTTGGTATGCTCGTTGCATTGCGATTTGGTTGACTTGACATCCTTGCCGTACTGGCACCGCAACCAACCATGTTCAGACGCCGGCGTACCGCATTGAGTGAACAGGAATTTCAGCGGAGGGAACAGGCGGCGAAGGATGTCAAGGAGCGTATCGAAGCACTGCGCTGGATTAGATGGATACTGTAGACCTAACGAATTGCTCGGGAACTCACAGGCATACCCGCACTCAGCGTCACCGGTGCCAGCGACAGTGGTCAACACGGCGTATGCTTTGCCGCATATTTCCTTAACAGCTGTTACTATGTCGTAATCATTAATGTTTGTAGGGGAGGCGTCAATGGAGTTATAGATTTTCTCAGACGGGTTGTTTTTATCTGGCACTTCGAACAGCGATGTGACGTGCTTAGGTAACTTAACGTATACAGGATTGTGCGGGAGCCCGGTGAGCCAAACTAACTGCTCGTACACTGAGCATGGTGCCCTCTTGGAGAAGGAAGTGGCTATGTGACCGACCTGGAAGAAATCCGTAAGGTAGTTGTATAGTTTCGGGATGACACCAGCTTCGGCCGATTCGACAGTCAGAGTGGCATCGCCAAGCGATTGTTTGTTACTCTCGAAGAGTTCATGTTGTGGATTGTTAAGATGCTCAAGAATTTTTGCACCGTTGAAACCTTTTTTGTGATTCAGTTCACCGTGCATAGCCTTTTCAGGTAGACCAGGATCGTAACCGTTCTCTTTAAAGAAAAGTCTGTGAAGGCTATGGCGAGATTTCTCGGAATTATATATTTTATAGTCTTTCCAGTCGTTGTCAAGTCCATCTTTTAGCTCTTTTAACGCGTCACATACGATGGGAGTGATGGTGAGCATGATTTTAGCACCATTCATACCGTCCGGCGTCAACTTGTATTTGGGGGCCTCGGGAACAGCGTCGCTGGACTTCGACTTGTCAGTGTCAGTGACCTTAGTAAGCCACTGAGTGATTGGCGGAGAATCCTCGTACACGTTTAAGTAGGCCTTTCCCAACTCTGATACCAAAGCTGGGAAGCCAGCTCTCAGAGTCTCCAGCAGCAAAGGGCTCTTGCCCTCGCCGAACGTTTTAGGTGCAAATTTACTAATCATATTTTTTAGTCTATCTAGGTTTTCGAAAAATTTAGGATCGAAATGTTTCGAAGCGTAGAGATCTTGGAACAATGTATGAGAGAGCAATGAAAGGGATTTTACGTCGCCGGCGTGTCCGCCGTCTCCCTTTTCTTGTTCCCTAACGTATTGCATAATGTGAGTAATGAAGCTAAGGAAAGAGATGGACGTTTTTTCGAGCGCTTGTTTCTTCTGCTCAGCTGTGTCAGTGGACTCACTTGCAAGATCTTTGAGCAAATTAATGTGATCCTGCGTCGTATTATTTCCGTCAATTCTGCCTTCAATGGTTCTCATAAAACCTTTAAAGCCCTCCCTGCGGTCGGTGTCGATATCCTTAGGCAAATGCTGCAGTATCTTTTGAACCCTGCTAGCAAAGGCCTTCAGCATCTCTTTGACTGACGTCACGTAATTCTTGTTGGCCTGGGTGGTGAGTTTCTCGATGGTCTTTTGAACTTCGGAGTTGACGTGGGATCTTAAATGTTCAATTGTTGTATCCCCTTCTCGCTCGGCGACTTTTAATAATTCTTCTGTCTCTTTTATGGTTTTGTCCAAATCGCCACCCAGCAATTTGAGAATATCATCGTGAATTTTTTGGAGAGTCCCGTCGTTAACCGTGACGCCTTGTTCTTTCTTGCCGATCTTGTCATCTTTGAGCTGCTTTAATTTCTCATTTATAGATTTGCCAGTCTCCGTCATCGCCTTTTGGAGAGCTTCAAGGTTGGATTGGATACCGGTGGAAAGAGATTCAAGGGCTTTTGTGGTCAGTGAGACGTCAAGTCCCTTGTCAGAATATCCGTTAATGGAAGTGATCGCATCGTTGAGGGGTTCGTAGGCGGTGTTGCGTTCGGAGTTGATGGAGTTTCCTTTTATGCTTACTGAGTTTTCAGGGCCTTCAATGCCGGTGACCTGCATCTCTACGGACTTGATTGCGGAGTCGACTTCGAGGGCAAAGTTAGTTTTGCCGCCAGCCGGTTGTCCAGTCGCCTGTTCAAGCTGACCGTTAAGCAACTTAGCAATCCCGTGTGCCTCTGCTATTTTTTTAGCGATGCTGGTTGGATCTGCGCCGAAAGGCCTGCGCTCGTTGACTAAAGAATCGACCTCCTTAGCCACTCCCCTAGCCGCACCAACGAGCTCGTGGAGAGTGTATTTGACGGCCCACTCGAGATATCCTTTGGCAGTTTGATCCGAATATTGATCTCCCAAATCTGTCGCAATGTTCCTTGCTATTCCCTCAATGAACGTATCATTTCTTGTTTCTTGGTCCTCTTTAATCTTCTTCCCAAGAGCATCGGCAAAAGTGTTGCAAATTTCTTTTACTGCGTTAACATAGGCATCAATTTTGCCGTCGGCTACGGTTGAAATCCTTCCCTGCGCTGCTTCAATTTCACTCCCCTTGTCAATCTCTCCTAGAAGTGCACCTGCGATTTTCTTCGTAAGTTGCTGCATAATAGTTTCAGCGCCGTCAAGATATGGATCGTTAAACTTAGCACCCTTACTACCGACCGCCCTGCCATACCCTTCTATCCACCACTTAACCGGTTCCTTCACCCAAATGCCGTTCACCCACACCTGTAAAATCTTCGTCTGAAACTGTTCCTTGCCAAACTCCTCAGCGTAGTCCTTAACAGCCTCTTTAATCCCCTCGAAACCCATAATAAATGAACCACCACTTTCCCCCTTAATTTGCGCAACCGTATTCCTAATATTGTCAAAAATCCCATCAATGTTCTTCGGAACGTCGCCTCTAAGACCAGTAAACTTTCCTGCAAGCGCATGAACCGCCTCCGGAACTTTCTCCACCGCCTGCGTAATCGCCAACAATTTATTCTTATAAACGTCTTCCAAAGCTTTAACTTGCTTCGTAGCTGTAGACGCCAAATTGCCGAGACTACTCTTCACGCTGTTAATATACTCGTCCAGACTCTTTTTTCTTGTGCCCAACTCTTTTGCTTTCTCCCTGATGGCATCCTGATTTACTAAACCAATATGCTTGTCTTCAATCTTCTTTGTCTCCTTCATCACTTGCTCAATAATTTCGTCCGCCTCTCTAATCCATTTTTGCAACGTAGTAACATAGCCGACAAGCGTCTCATTAATTTTCTTAAGCTGTTTCAGAATTTCTTCAACTTTTTTTCTCAACTCCCTAACAAGAGCAACAATATCGTTGCTGATTTTATCATTCACGCACCTATTTAGCGAATGACACGTCTCTTTAATTCTTTCAATAATCTCTTCCAGATTTCTGTGCTCCGTGGCGGACAAAGTACTAAGCCTTGTAGCTTCATAGGAAATTATATTTCTCACATTATCGATTTTATCGCGTAATGTAGGATTCAAGTCCATAAATTCTTCTTTAGGTTTCACCTCAGCTTTATAGCCTCTGTACTTTTGTACTCTATTATGGAAGCCGTTGTTGAAATCCTCACCTTTAGAGGCGTACTCCTTGGCCAAGGCCTTGGCAGCCTCCGCAGCCTTGGTAACATCAGGATCACGAGTAAAATCATTATCATTTATAGCACTCAGCTTTTTATTTAACTCATCGCCAACGTGATTTTGCATCTTCTTCACAATGTTTTGTATCACATCATTCGACGCTGCCACTCTCTCATTATATGTACGCACACCACTCGCCACCGCGGCTATCGCCGCCTTGTATTTAGTAATACCATTAAGATTTGTGCTTTTAAGTGAAGTAAGTGCGCTATCTAAAGTGTCTTTATGCTGGCCTAATTTAGGCTTAATGTTATCTAAAACTCCATGAAGGAAAGACATCACCCCGTCGCAGAGCCTGTCGAGGTCGGAGTACACGATGCCAAGGCCCGAGTAGCCTTTGGAAGTTTCTTGGTAACCAAGGAATGTTTGGAGACCTGAACACAATTTATCTAAAATGTTTTTACATTCTTCACTATTTTTAGATGGAACACCCTCATGAAATTTCATAAGCTTTTCAAGACTCTCAAGCGATGTCAACGAAGCCTCATGAGACTTCAATTTAGCCTGCTCAGTTGCAAGAGGATGAGAAAGATGATAGGGAATAGAGATATCTTCAACTTTTTTATCAGGATTTTTTTGCTGTTCTGCCTTTTTATACCGCTCAATTGCATCTTGATGCCTTTTGACTTCTGCAGTAAGGCTCTTAATGTATTCATCAATTTCCTTTTTAGGCTCTTTTAATTGAGCTTCAAGCTCACTAATTTGCTGATCAACAAGACTTTTTTGCTCTTTAAGCTTCTCTTCATTTTGCTTAATTTGCTCTTCAAGCCTCTGAATCTCAGCATCACTGCCGTCGGACGGCGCCCTTCCAGGCGCCTTACTCTGTTCATCATTTTGCTTTTTAAGGCTATCAATTTTTGTTTTAATATTATCAATGCTTTCAAATGTCATTTGAAGATTTTTAAGATGATCAACACGGAAATTCACAGCCTTATCACAACACCCCTCACCTCCGCAAGATGTTTGTAAAAGCTTACTAAGCTGATTTACATTACTTTGCAAACCCTTTATAATAGCATTTTTGACTTCCTCTCCACCGCCAATTAAACCCATAAGTTGTCCAGGAAGCTGACCAAGAGAGATACGGCGGGAATCAATGTCATCCAAGGCTTTGTCTCTGGCATCATCAGTAAGGTAATGAACTTCATTGTAATGGTCATTGTAGTTGGATTGAAGGTGGATTAGAGGAAAGTTAAAAGAAGTAAAGGGAGGTGAAATGGCACATTTTAGGGCGATTTGGGGGAATTTGGAGAAAGGCGATTTTAGGTCAAGGGGGCAGTGAGGGAGGTGGGTGGACAGGGCGGGGGAGGTGAAGGGGCGAAAGAGGGCGATGGAGGGGGAAGATGGGTTGAGGTATGGCGATTTCGGAGGTGGAGGGAAAAAGTAGAAAATGAGGATTTGGGTGAAGGACGCCGACGGAGGAGGTGAGGGAGGGGGTGATGGAGGAGGGAGCGAAGCGACGAGTGAAAGAGGGAGGTGAGTGGGTGGTTGAGTGGGTGGTTGAGTGAGTGGTTGAGTGGGTGGTTGAGTGGGTGGGTGATTAGGTGCATGGTTGAGTGGGTGGGTGAGTGGGTGGGTGATACACAGATCACACGTGAAGGCACGATTATGGTGAGAAGTACTTGACGTTGGCGAGTGCCTTGACGCGTGCGGCGGCGAGGAGGGACTGGGCGGCGATGCGGTGGCTTGAGGGTGATTTTAGGTGTGAGCGGATCCTCAGGACGTCGAGGCGAACGACGGCGATGTGCAGCAGGTACAGGAGCGACAGCGACCAGAGGGCTAATAAGAGGAAAGTGAAGAAGTTGAGAAATGTTGAAGGAATATTTTAGGCACATTTTGAGGGCGATTTGGGGGAGTTTGGGGAAAGGCGATTTTAGGTCAAGGAGGCAGCGAGGCAGCGAGGGAGGTGGGTGGACAGGGTGAGGGAGGTGAGGGGCGAAAGAGGGCGATGGAGGAGGAAGGTGGGTGGAGGTAAGGCGGTTTCGGAGGTGGAGGGAGGAAGTGGAAAAAGAGGATTTGGGTGGAGGACGCCGACGGAGGAGGTGAGTGAAGGAGGAGGCAGGGAGCGAAGCGACCAGTGAAGGAGGGAGGTGGGTGAGTGAGTGAGTAGGTGGTTGAGTGAGTGAGTGGTTGAGTGGTTGAGTGGGTGGTTGAGTGGGTGGGTGGTTGAGTGGTTGAGTGGTTGAGTGGGTGGGTGGTTGAGTGGGTGGGTGAGTGAGTGGTTGAGTGGGTGGGTGGTTGAGTGGGTGGGTGGTTGAGTGGGTGGGTGAGTGGTTGAGTGAGTGGGTGGGTGGTTGAGTGGGTGAGTGGGTGGTTGAGTGGGTGGGTGGTTGAGTGGGTGGGTGGTTGAGTGGGTGGGTGAGTGGTTGAGTGAGTGGGTGGGTGGTTGAGTGGGTGAGTGGGTGGTTGAGTGGGTGAGTGAGTGAGTGAGTGGGTGGTTGAGTGGGTGGTTGAATGGGTGAGTGGGTGGTTAGGTGAGTGGGTGAGTGAGTGAGTGGTTGAGTGGGTGGTTGAGTGAGTGAGTGGGTGGTTGAGTGGGTGGTTGAATGGGTGAGTGGGTGGTTAGGTGAGTGGGTGAGTGAGTGAGTGGTTGAGTGGTTGGGTGGTTAGGTGAGTGGGTGAGTGGTTGAGTGGGTGAGTGGTTGAGTGGGTGAGTGGTTGAGTGGGTGGTTGAGTGGTTGAGTGGGTGGTTGAGTGGTTGAGTGAGTGGGTGGGTGGTTGAGTGGGTGAGTGGGTGAGTGGTTGAGTGGTTGAGTGAGTGGTTGAGTGGTTGAGTGGGTGAGTGAGTGGTTGAGTGGGTGAGTGGGTGGGTGGGTGGTTGAGTGGGTGAGTGAGTATGTGAGTGGTTGAGTGGGTGAGTTGGTGAGTGGGTGAGTGGTTGAGTGGTTGAGTGGTTGAGTGGTTGAGTGGTTGAGTGGGTGAGTGGTTGAGTGGGTGAGTGGGTGAGTGGGTGAGTGAGTGGGTGAGTGGGTGAGTGGTTGAGTGGGTGAGTGAGTGGGTGAGTGGGTGAGTGGTTGAGTGGGTGGTTGAGTGGGTGGTTGAGTGAGTGAGTGGGTGAGTGGGTGAGTGGGTGAGTGGTTGAGTGGGTGGTTGAGTGGTTGAGTGTGTGAGTGGATGAGTGAGTGAGTGGGTGAGTGGTTGAGTGGGTGAGTGGGTGAGTGAGTGGGTGAGTGGTTGAGTGGGTGAGTGGGTGAGTGGGTGAGTGGGTGAGTGAGTGGGTGATTAGGTGAGTGGGTGAGTGAGTGGGTGATTAGGTGAGTGGGTGAGTGGGTGAGTGGTTGAGTGGGTGAGTTGGTGGGTGAGTGGGTGAGTGAGTGTGTGGGTGAGTGGTTGAGTATGTGAGTGGGTGGTTGAGTGGTTGAGTGTGTGAGTGGATGAGTGAGTGAGTGGGTGAGTGGGTGGTTGAGTGGGTGAGTATGTGAGTGAGTGGGTGGTTGAGTGGGTGAGTGAGTGGGTGGGTGAGTGGTTGAGTGGGTGAGTGGGTGGTTGAGTGAGTGTGTGGGTGGTTGAGTGGTTGAGTGGTTGAGTGGGTGAGTGAGTGGGTGAGTGGGTGAGTGGTTGAGTGGGTGAGTTGGTGGGTGAGTGGGTGAGTGAGTGGGTGATTAGGTGAGTGGGTGAGTGAGTGGGTGATTAGGTGAGTGGGTGGGTGAGTGGGTGAGTGAGTGGGTGATTAGGTGAGTGGGTGAGTGAGTGGGTGATTAGGTGAGTGGGTGAGTGAGTGGGTGGGTGAGTGAGTGGTTGGGTGGGTGGCTGAGTGAGTGGGTGAGTGAGTGGTTGAGTGGGTGGTTGAGTGAGTTGGTGGTTGAGTGGGTGGTTGAGTGGGTGGTTGAGTGGTTAGGTGGTTGAGTGGTTGAGTGGTTGAGTGGTTGAGTGGGTGAGTGGGTGGGTGGGTGGTTGAGTGGGTGAGTGAGTATGTGAGTGGTTGAGTGGGTGAGTTGGTGAGTGGGTGAGTGGTTGAGTGGTTGAGTGGTTGAGTGGTTGAGTGGTTGAGTGGTTGAGTGGTTGAGTGGTTGAGTGGTTGAGTGGTGAGTAGGTGGGTGAGTGGTTGAGTGGGTGGGTGAGTGAGTGAGTGGTTGAGTGGTGGTTGAGTGGGTGGTTGAGTGAGTGGGTGAGTGGGTGAGTGGTTGAGTGGGTGGGTGGTTGAGTGAGTAGGTGGTGGTTGAGTGGTTGAGTGAGTGGTTGGGTGGTTGAGTGAGTGGGTGAGTGGTTGAGTGGTTGAGTGAGTATGTCAGTGGTTGAGTGGTTGAGTGGGTGAGTGAGTGGGTGGGTGAGTGAGTGGGTGAGTGAGTGGTTGAGTGGGTGGTTGAGTGAGTTGGTGGTTGAGTGGGTGGTTGAGTGGGTGGTTGAGTGGTTAGGTGGTTGAGTGGTTGAGTGGTTGAGTGGTTGAGTGGGTGAGTGGGTGGGTGGGTGGTTGAGTGGGTGAGTGAGTATGTGAGTGGTTGAGTGGGTGAGTTGGTGAGTGGGTGAGTGGTTGAGTGGTTGAGTGGTTGAGTGGTTGAGTGGTTGAGTGAGTGAGTGGTTGAGTGGTTGAGTGAGTGGTTGAGTGGTTGAGTGGTTGAGTGAGTGGTTGAGTGGTTGAGTGGGTGAGTGAGTGGTTGAGTGGTTGAGTGGTTGAGTGGTTGAGTGGTGAGTAGGTGAGTGGTTGAGTGAGTGAGTGGGTGAGTGGGTGAGTGGTTGAGTGGGTGGTTGGGTGAGTGGTTGAGTATGTGAGTGAGTGGGTGAGTGGGTGAGTGGTTGAGTGGGTGGTTGAGTGGTTGAGTGTGTGAGTGGATGAGTGAGTGAGTGGGTGAGTGGTTGAGTGGGTGAGTGGGTGAGTGAGTGGGTGAGTGGTTGAGTGGGTGAGTGGGTGAGTGGGTGAGTGGGTGAGTGAGTGGGTGATTAGGTGAGTGGGTGAGTGAGTGGGTGATTAGGTGAGTGGGTGAGTGGGTGAGTGGTTGAGTGGGTGAGTTGGTGGGTGAGTGGGTGAGTGAGTGGGTGAGTGAGTGGGTGGGTGAGTGAGTGGTTGGGTGGGTGGCTGAGTGAGTGGGTGAGTGGTTGAGTGAGTGGGTGAGTGGGTGAGTGGTTGAGTGAGTGAGTGGGTGAGTGGGTGAGTGGGTGAGTGGTTGAGTGGTTGAGTGGGTGGTTGAGTGGTTGAGTGAGTGGTTGAGTGGTTGAGTGGTTGAGTGAGTATGTCAGTGGTTGAGTGGTTGAGTGGGTGAGTGAGTGGGTGGGTGAGTGAGTGGGTGAGTGAGTGGTTGAGTGGGTGGTTGAGTGAGTTGGTGGTTGAGTGGGTGGTTGAGTGGGTGGTTGAGTGGTTAGGTGGTTGAGTGGTTGAGTGGTTGAGTGAGTATGTCAGTGGTTGAGTGGTTGAGTGGGTGGTTGAGTGGGTGGTTGAGTGAGTGGGTGGTTGAGTGGGTGGTTGAGTGAGTGAGTGGGTGGGTGAGTGGTTGAGTGGGTGGTTGAGTGGGTGGGTGAGTGGGTGATTAGGTGGTTGAGTGGGTGATTAGGTTAGTGGGTGAGTGAGTGTGTGGGTGAGTGGTTGAGTGAGTGGTTGAGTGGGTGGGTGGGTGG